GTTCAAGTTATCTCAGTAATTTCACTGGTGACTCCATGATCCTATGCTAATTAAAGCCTTTTATTACAAAAGTGGTGGGAGCAGCTAATCCTAGGAGTTTAAATGATGAAGGCTCTATAAGGAAATGCAAATTAAACCACAAAGAAATATCACTATAGACTCACAAGGATGGCTAAAATAAAAAGTCCAACAGTACCAAGTGTTGGTGAGGATATGCAACAACCTGAACTCTGCTCGCGTGTGGCAGTTGGGAGTATGAAAAGGTACAACCACTGTGGAGGACTGGTAAGCAGTTTCTTATAAAGCTGAATATACACTTACCATATGACCCAGCCATTCTATTCCTAAGTATTTACCTAAGAGAAATAAATACCTATGTCCACACACACAAAAAAGACTTCTATATGAACATTTTATTTACATAATAGCCAAAAGCTAGAAATAATTTAAATGTCCTTCAACAGGTGAATGGATAAAATAATTGTGGAAAAATCTATACAATGGAATACTAATCTTCAGTTTAAAAAACTGAATGGATACATGTAACAATGACGATGAATTTCAAAAGTATTATGCTAGACACAGTAGTACATACTGTATGGTTCCATTTAGAGCAAGCAAAATTAATCTATAGGACAGAAAGCAGGTGTTATGTTATATGAGATGGTGTGAGACAGAGGGGTGGATGCCTACAAGGAGGCATAAGGAACTGTTTGCAGTGATGGATTGATTGTGGTGATGTTTGTAAGAGTGTATATACAGTTGTGGAAATGCATACAGCTGTACACTTTAATGGGTGCATTGTATTACATATGAAGTTGATTTTAAAAGATGAAGTATCTAGTCTGAGCTCTACCACTAACAAGCTCTGTGTGTTCTTCTGAAAGGAGCTTAATCTCTCAGCATCTCTTTCCTGTTGCGAAAATGGAGACAATAGGTAGCTCACCTACCCCATTTAGTTATTGTGGATATATCAATAAAACCATTTATTTTCAAATGCCTTTAAGAGAATATAAAGTCATTTACAAATGCTGGTTGGAGCTTGGGAATATTTTATAAACTCCTCTGAAGGGAAGAAAGGCAAGAACTGTGATAACCAATATATGAGCTAATATATATATGTTGGATTTTATTTGCAAGTCATCTTTTAATTTTGTGTAACACTGGCTGTGTCACTTCCCCTCTCCCATCAGTAAAATGACAGGGTTGAACTAGATCAGAGGTAGAAAACTATAGGCTCAACGACTCTTTAAAGCCTTCCGGATGTGTTTTGTTTAGCCTCTACAGTGTCAACCTGTTCAACATTAATTGAAAGTGTGATTAGTTGCCAGTATTAAATCTGGAGATTTCAATAAATTTTTGGGTTTCCAGTTTATCCTTAGAAGTGAGCCATATTCCAACAGGGCAACAAGTACCTGGAGTTGTGTGGTAGCTGTTCCTTTATGTGGGCCATATGCTTTAGTTTCCCGGTCTTCACTACTCTCTGTAGCCTTTTCTATTCTCTGTAGTAACATAAAGAGGAAAGTTAATTCATTTTTGAGTGCCCTTGATATGTTAGACACTATTCTGGGGCATGTTTATACAGAGGGGAACCTAGAACAGAAGTGCTATGTATTTTAAGAAAAGTGGGAGAAAACATGTTTCTTGTGGAAGTAAAAAAATATTCCTACATATCTAATAGGCAAAGATACATGTGTGCCACAGTTACCTTGCTTGTTTTACTTGCTTACCTCACATAATGGAGCAGATTCTTTCTCCTTTTGTGATTCAATAAATTCATGGATTATCCAAAAAACGCATTCTAGTGAAATCATGGAGATTATCTTAGCATTTTAAAAAATGTAGATAGGCAGAGAGACTGACACAGACTCTACTAAATGTTAGCTTTTCTTCCCTCTGTTCAAACCGTCCCCACCTCAGCTCTAAAATTTTCCATTTAATCAAGCCTTTGGGATGTAACACAATCTGAAATGAACATCTCTGTTGACAGTCTTACAGCTGCCTTCTGTAATGGTCTGAACTCAGATCCATGTGTCAGATTTGTACTGGAGAAGTATCTTGAGTGGTGCTATCTACCTTCTAGTAATTTACATCCTTGTTTGGTCAACCACACAGTTAATAGTGGCCAACATTTTCATATTGACAGTCCTGTCAGGCTTCAGTTTTGATCTCATGGTCAAGGAACCCTGATTTAAATGCTTCTCACCATCAAATAAGTCCTTATATGGGCATAGGTGCTTAATAACATGGTTCTGTCTGTGTTAGGCACAATGGTTCATTGCTCTGCCTTCAGATTTATGACAGTAATGGGCTTTGAGAATCTGGACAGGCTCTTCTCAACCAATTGTACTTGCCTAGATTGTGTGGTAGGTCTCTAACTTATTTCTTCAGTCCTGGCTGGAAAAGTCATCTTGCTACCTGGTAAAGAAAACTACACTGCTCCCATCTGGTGGCAGTTATCTCAAATTGCTGCATCATCGACTTGCTTCTGAAAGGACAGCCTTGTTCTTTAGTGGTGCCATGCATCACAGAACTGCAGGAAATAGCCATTCCCAACTTTTGTTCTTCCAACTTTTGTTCTATAGCACTGTCAGCACTATCAGGAAGATTGCAGTTTTTTCTAAGATAAATTAAGTGGAAGGAACATTTTTTGGACAATCAGGAAATTGACACTATTCCAGGTTCTGCCCATAACTGGCAGTGGGACTCCTAAGTCTCACTGGGTTCCGCTACCCCTAAAGCAAAATGCTTGGACTTAATGTCCTCTAGAAGTACTGTTGGTACAAAGTCTATAATTCTGTGATTTTTTCCCCCCGAAATTCAAAATATCTATAAAATGAAAACCCACTTGGACTGTTCACAAAACAGGTATAAATATACATTGAGATTTTGTAATATACTATTATTTTCCCCAGTTCTACTTGATTATAAGATACATCATGAATAATAGCTTTGGGGTGGGGGGACAAAGATGCACTTTATTTAATGTACATATTTATTACAAGAGAATTTCAGATATCCTAAAAGTTAAAATGTAAAAAAATATGCATCTTAGAATTGAGATTTTTTTGGTGGTGTATGTGTGTGTGACAGGATCTCTCTGAGTGCATGTGAGGGTTAAAACATTTTTTAGTAAATACTCAAAATTCTAGAATTACAATTGACAGTTGAACAGTATAAGTATACTTTAAAGTATTAGGAGAAAAAGGAAAATGTTATTGAGGTACAACGATTAAAGAGATGAAATTAGAGATTTATTCGGGTGATCACCTCATAAGTTATATAAACATCTAGTCATGGGATTTATACCTGAAACTAATATAATATTGTATGTCAACTATAAAAATATTTAGAAATAAAATTTTAAAAATTTAGAAAGATTATATGGTAAATTTTAGTGTTTATCTGAATACTGAAGAACATAGTGATAAGAAATATACAAACATGTAGTCTTCCAGTAAATCATTATCAAAATACGCATTGGAACATTTGAACCCATTAAAAATGTTTTAACACAGCCCGGCCAGTGTGGCTCAGTGGATTGAGTGTTGTCCAATGGACTGAGAGGTCCAGGTTCAATTCCAGGTCAGGGCACGTGCCCGGGTTTCAGGCTCAATCCCTAGTAGGGGGCATGCAGGAGGCAGCTTATTGATGTTTCTATCTCACTCTTCCTCTCTCTCTAAAAAAAAATAAAATAAAAAACATTTAAAAAAATGTTTTAACACGGATTTATGTGTGTATTTTAACATGCAACTGTGCTTTATGATTAAAGTTGTCTTTGGTTGTAATGAACAGAAACTTACTCAAGCTGACTTAAAAAGGAATAATTGTTGTAAAGATGTAATAGGAGCCCTGGTGGTTTGGCTCAGCGGTTAGAGCATTGGCTTGCGGTCTGGAGAGACCGGGGTTCGGTACCCACTAAGGGCATGTACCTCGGTTGCAGTTTGTCCCCGGCCCTGGTCGGGTTGTGTGGGTGGCAACCACTCGATGTGTCCCTTTCACGTCAATGTTTCTCTCTCTCTCTCTCCCTCCCACTCTATCTGAACAAAATATCGAAAAATGTCCTCGGGCGAGGATAAAATAAAAAAAAAGATATAATAGGAAATGCTGTAAACATCAGGTGCTCAAGTGCTGGTGGGCCTCAGAGGAACTAGAGTGGCAATCAGGACTCAAGTCATATCTCAGGCCTGAGATCTCTATGATCACTGATTATTGCTCTATTAATTTTGCATGTGGCTGCTAGCCCCAAACCAATGCCATAACCTCAGCTCAAGTTTCTGTACTGATGACTTCTCTCTGCATTCACCTTCATCTAATTAGTGATCACCTTGGTGCAAAATATAAACTAATGATTTTTATTATTATTTTTGCTACATAGGCTCAATGCACAGAGTAGTTCAAACTAACTTATGAAGGTACACGAGCAGGTAGATGAACTAAGTGTCTAGTATAAAGTGCTGCTTGTACCAAAGCCTACAACTTTGACAGCTTTGCAGCACCTTATCTATCTGTAACCCTTTAACAAGTGCACCAAACACCTCAAACGGTGTTTGGGGAATGAGGTCAAGATTAGGAGTTCTAAGGATTTGTGGAACACTAAGTTGTAACAAATTCAAAGTATTTAAGAAGGCTTCAGTTAGTAATTGTTACCTTAAAGGGAAAAATAACAGAGCCTCACAGGATTGTAGTTAGAATTAAACGCCCTCAAAGTGCCTAGGGCAGTAGTTGGAATGTAGTTAGTTTTTTCCCTTTATCTGTTTGCTCATCTGTTTATTTGTAGGTTTTTTTGAAGATAATTACTGTTCCTTTTCCTGAGATTGGTGTTTAGGAACAATTTCTCTGATTTCTGTCACCCAATTGCCTCTGAGTCCTGAGAATCTAAGAATGCCTTCTAAGCCAGGCCAGACCTAGAGCAAGCTGGCAGTGGCACCATCAACAGTGACAGCAGCCACCTTAGTCATCTTGACTCAGAAGAGCTTGTATATTTGTTTCTCTCACAGGTGGATTTGCTATCGTGTTTCTGGTGAGGACAAGCAACGGAATGAAATGTGCCTTGAAACGCATGTTTGTCAACAATGAGTATGATCTCCAGGTGTGCAAGAGAGAAATCCAGATAATGGTAAGGCTGCTCCTCAGACTTGAGACTGCTTATTTAAAATGGGGAAGGGGAGCCCTGGCCAGTTTGACTCAGTGGTTGGAGCGTTGGCCTACAGACCAAAGAGTCACGGGTTCAGTTCCAGTCAAGGGCATGTACCTTGGTTGTGGTTCCTTCCGTCCCAGCCCTGATTGGGGTCATGCAGGAGGCAATCAGTCGTTGTGTTTCTCTCATATTGATGTTTCCCTCCCTCCCTCCCACTCTATCTGAAGAAAAATGGAAGAATATACTCAGGTGAGGATTGAAAAAATAAAAAATAAATAAAATAAAATAAAATGGAAGTGGGGAGAGAGAGACTGTGCCCTCTCATAAGAAAGGCAAGGGGGCCCTGGCCAGTTTGGCTCAGCGGTTAAAGTGTGGGCCTGAGGTCCTGAGAGACCTGGGTTTGGTTCCCGCTAAGGGCATGTACCTCAGTTGCAGTTTGTCCCCGGCTCTGGTCAGTCGTGTGGGTGGCAGCCACTCGATGTGTCCCTTTCACATCGATGTTTCTCTCTCTCTCTCTCTGTTCCTCTCTCTTCCTCCCACTCTACCTGAACAAAAAATGGAAAAATGTCCTCAGGTGAGGATTAAAAAAAAAAAAAAAGAAAGGCAAGGGGAATTTGTTCTATTTCCTGAGGTGGCAGAGAGGCCTCTGCACAAGATGGGAGTACTCGAATAGCATTAGGGTGTAGGATGCCGCTCCTGCCTTGGTCACCCTCAGTTGGAGGGTTGAAGAGAAAGGAGCTTATTGAGAGAATGGATATATTTTTAGGTCAGAGAAATAATTTGGGGCATTGGGCATTGGGGAAGTTTATTTCATGACATGGTTCCCAGAATTAACTATGGAGTTTAATCTGAAAACCCTTGCTTTTCTTTCTTTCTTTCTTTCTTTCTTTCTTTCTTTCTTTCTTTCTTTCTTTCTTTCTTTCTTTCTTTCTTTCTTTCTTTCTGTATTTATTTATTTAATTGATTTTAGAAAGAGAGGAAGGGAGAGGGAGAGAGAGACAAACATTGATCATTGATGAGAGAGAACATTGATTGACTGCCTCCTGTATGCCCCCCCCCCCGCTGGGGCTTTGGCCCACAACCTGGGCATGTGCCCTGACCAGGAATTGAACCGGAGACCTCTTGGTGCATGGGTCTACCCTCAACCACTGAGCCACACTGGCTGGGCTGGTAACCCTAGCTTTTCAACAAAACTCTTCTTCTAGTCTTGTCTTCTATCAGTTACCAATCCCAGTTTTCAACCCTCTTGAGCTCTTCAGCATTCTGTGACATAAATCTTTCTGCACATTTTTATTTTGTACATGTAGTTCTTTCCACCTGGAATGCTTTTCCCTTTTTTGACCTAGAAACCTCTTACTCTGTGTTTTCATTTATAAAAGTCTTAGAACTGGCAAAAGTGATCCTTGGTAATGGAAATCAGAAAGTGGTTATCTGGGTGTATAAAATTGATTATAAAGGGGTGTGTGGGAACTTTCTGGGCCATAGAAATGTTTTATATCTTGTTTTGGGTAGTGGTTATACAGGCCTATACAATTGTCAGAACACATATTTTATTATATATTAATTATATCTTACACCTTACAAACTTCAAGATACAGATTCATAATATATTTAAAGAAAGAGTTCCTAGCTGTTACAGGTAAATGATGAAATATTTATGGATAAAATAATATGTCTTGAAGTTAATGAAATTTAGAAGAGAAACAAGATTGGCAATGAATTGATTATACTCAAGGCAGAGTGATGGGTATATATGTTTGTTGCCTCTTACTTTCACTTCTGTTTAACATTATACATAAAAAATTTTTTTATCCTCGCCTGAGGACATTTTCCCATTTTTTGTTCAGACAGAGTGGGGGGGGGGGCGGAGAGAGGAAGAGAGAGAGGGAGAGAGAGAAACATTGATGTGAAAGGTACACATCGAGTGGCTGCCACCTTCACGACCCAACCAGGGCCCAGGACAAAATGCAATCGAGGTACGTGCCCTTAGCGGCAACTGAACCTGGGTCTCTCTGGACTGCAGGCCGACGTTCTGACTGCTGAACCAAACGGGCCAGGGCTATATATAAAAATTTTAAATAATCTATTAATCCATTATGTTTCCACAGTACTTTTGTTAATGCCAATTATATGGTTTATCTTGTTATTTTATAAATAATTCTGCTATTAGAAAATAAGTTATTTCAAATCAGAAACTTTGTATTCCAGTGCACTGCTTGACATAGAATAAATACTTAATAAACTTTGGGTGAAATGAATGTATGAGTAATAGTAATAGCAGATACATAGGTTCATCAGGAGATGATGATTCATTTGTGCTCTGGATTTTAATGCTTTTGTAAAGAAGTCCAAGAAATGGATGAAGGTGGCATTACAGGGATTCTGCCAGGCTCTGCTTGCCCCAGCCCACGCCTTATGGGACTGCCCTTTCTTTGGCTACTTAGAGTAACTAGTTGTACTGTAGTTGAGCTACTGAAAGAACTCAGAATTTTAGAGAGCCTGGTACTAGTTTGGATTCCAGACAGCTGAAACTATTTGGAAAGGAACTGTTGATAGAAGTAAGTGTTGCTGTTATCATCGCCAGACAAATAAACAAAAAACTATAAGACTCATATACATACAGTCAGGGCCATGAGGATCTGTCTACAAGACACCAGTGTCCTCGCAGTCCCCTGTCACACAGCTCAAAATGACTGTGCTCACTATATTTTCCTTTGTCCACTCATTGGGTTGTATGGATGCTTCTTATTACTCCTTCGTCTTCCACATTGCCCCTTCCTTGCTCAGCTTTCACACTACATTTCCAATCTTTGCTTATGCTACTTCCTCTGCTTGGAATGCCCTTCTCATTCCTTTTCTGGTGCTAGGAAAGTAATTCCACTCTTGAACTTTCTGCCACTCATTCATAAACATGTTTGAGGGCTTACTTTGTGCTACACAGGTGTCGGAGTACAGGAACTAAGAAGACAGGCCCCTTAGGAGTTCACAAATTAATGTACCTGATTAGGAATTAAATTATGTGGGTTCAAGTCCAGCCATGTATTAGCTGTGAGAGTTTTGTTCTTCATTTTGTTTATGTTTTTTGAAAACTTAAATACTCAAGTAGGTGAACTAAAACATCAAGCAATTTCCCAAGGGCTCCTCCTATGCCATTTCAAGGTCTCAGGGTCACCACTTTTAGTTGATTCATTTCTAACTAACATGCTGATATTGCTAATTCTTGGCCCTTCTCCCCTCCATTTTAGGCATTAGATACCATGGAAAGTAAATATTTAGCTCTTTCGTCCCCTGCATGTCCTTTTCCCCAAATACTTGCATTATTTTCATCTTATATTTTTCCAAAATAGCAGAATGTTTTGGCAATATATTAAGTATATGAGTATTAGTTTTTATATTATTATGTAAGAAAACATTATTTCTGCTGAATCTCCTAGTGAAGTGTAATTACTATTCCTTTCCTGTATCACTATTTTCCCTGGAATTAATAATTGTCTGGTGGGTTCTTTTTTGGGGGTGGAGGGGTGGGTCTTAGTTTTCTGCATACTTTTCAGCAATTTAATCCAAAACTCTTCCCAAGTCGTGTAAGTCATTATTTTAATACTTTAAAGCACATTTACTATTCTGTGCATTTTATCTTCTTGGAGAGATTTTTCTCATTCTTCTGACTCGATGGAATCTGGGTTGGTTGCTCTCTAGGCCTAATTTACAGTGTTAGCTTGGAATTTTCTAGGCATTCCATTTGCCTCTCTTTTTTGTTAGATTTATTGACTTTTTATTTTTTAAAATTCTCATTTTAAAAAATGGATATTGTTGAGTTGTATGAGTACTCTATATATATTGGAAATTAACCCCTTATCTGATATATCATTGGCAATGATGTTCTCCCATAGAATGGGTCGCCTTTCCATTTTGGTGGTTGTTTCTTTTGCTGTGCAGAAGATTTTGAGTTGGATGTAGTCTCATGTGCTCATTTTCTCCTTTGTTTCTGTTGCCTTAGGTGATATATCAGTGAAAATTCTGCTCCGTATGATGTCTGGAATTTTGTTGCCTACATTTTCTTCTAGAATTTTTATGGATTCACGGGTCACATTTAAGTCTTTTATCCATTTTGAGTTTATTTTTGTGTATGGTGTAAGTTGATGGTCTAGTTTCATTTTTTTGCATGTAGTTGTCCGGTTTTCCCAACACCATTTATTAAAGAGGCTGTCTTTATTCCTCTGTATGCTCTTGCCACCTTTGTCAAATATTAATTGAACATATTGCCTTGGGTCCATTTCCGGGTTTTCAGTTCTGTTCCACTGGTCTATATGCCTGTTCTTGTGCCAGTACCAGGCTGTTTTGATTATAGTCGCTTTGTAGTATAACCTGATATCTGGTATTGTGATCCCACCTACTTTGTCCTTTTTTTTCAAAATTGCTGTGGCTATTCGGGGACTTTTTTGGTTCCATATGAACTTTTGAAGTATTTGTTCTAGTTCTGTGAAATATGTCATTGGTATTTTGATGGGGATTGCATTGAATCTATAGATTACTTTGGGTAGTATGGACATTTTAATGATGTTAATTCTTCCAATCCATGAACAAGGTATGTGCTTCCACTTTTTTATATCTTCCTCTATTTCTTTTTTCAATGTCCTGTAGTTTTCTGCAAATAGGTCCTTTACTTCTTTGGTTAAGTTTATTCCTAGGTATCTTAATTTTTTTGCCGCAATGGTAAATGCGATTGTTTTTTTGGTTTCTCTTTCTGTGAGTTCATCATTGGTGTATAAGAATGCCGTCGATTTCTTGACGTTAATTTTGTATCCTGCTACTTTTCCAAATTCATTTATTAAGTCTAGTAGATATTTGATGGAGTCTTTAGGGTTTCCTATGTATAATATCATGTCATCTGCAAATAATGACAGATTCACTTCCTCCTTTCCAATTTGGATCCCTTTTATTTTTTCCTCATGTCTGATTGCTGTGACTAAGACTTCCAGTACTATGTTAAATAGGAGTGGCAAAAGTGGACATCCCTGTCTTGTTCCTGTTCTTAATGGAAATGTTTTTAGTTTCTGCCCATTGAGTATGATGTTGGCTGTAGGTCTTTCATATATGGCCTTTATGATGTCGAGATATGATCCCTCTATTCCCACATTTCCAGTATATATAGAGTACTCATACAACTCAACAAAAGGAAGACAAAGAACCCAATTAAAAAATGGGCAGAGGAGCTGAATAGACACCTCTCCAAACAGGACATAAAAATGGCCAAGAGACATATGAAGAAATGCTCAACATCACTAATCATCAGAGAGATGCAAATTAAAACAACAATGAGGTATCACCTCACACACCTGTCAGAATGGCTGCCATCAACAAATCATCAAACAACAAGTGTTGGCGAGGGTGTGGAGAAAAGGGGACTCTAATACACTGCTGGTGGGAATGCAGACTGGTGCAGCCACTATGGAAAACAATATGGTGTTACCTCAAAAAATTAAAAATTGAACTTCCATTTGACCCAGTGATCCCGCTTCTAGGAATATACCCTAAGAAGTCTGAAACACCAATCAGAAAGAATATATGTACCCCCATGTTCATAGCAGCATGATTTACAATAGCTAAGATCTGGAAACAGCCCAAGTGTCCATTAGTAGAAGAATGGATAGAAAAGCAGTGGTACATATACACAATGGAGTACTATGCAGCTGTAAGAAGGAAAGATCTCTTATCCTTTGAGACAACATGGAGGGACCTGGAAAGTATTATCCTAAGTGAAATAAGCCAAGCAGAAAAAGACAAATACCACATGATCTCACTTATATACGGAATATAATGAACATAACAGTCTGAGGAATACGGTAGACCCAGAAACATGGAAGTGGGGCACAGACTGACATCCATCAGAGGAGGGGGTGGGGGGGGTGGGAAGAGATAAACCACAAAACTTATATGCATGTATACATAACCAGTGGACATGAACAACAAAGCCGGGGATGGGGCGGGTGTGGGGTGGGGAGGGGGGTGCCAATGGGGTAAAAAAGGAGAAACATCTATAACAAAAAAATAAATAAAATTAAAAAGAAAAAAAAAAAAAAAGCGCCTGGCAGAAATAAATAGGTATTATTTTGAAAGATGATAATTTTATATAAGACCATACTCTACTTCTGCAAACAATATGGTTGATACAGTATTGGACACAAATTGTAAAAGAAACAAATAAACCAAACCAAAACAAGACAAAACAAAAAAGAAAGCTATCATAACATACCTGAGGAGAGAAGACAATATAAGACAATACAATAAAGTAATGCAAACCAAGGGAATCAATAGGCAGAAATATAAACTCATGGGCAAGGTTATCATAAGTATCAAATATAATAGAAGACACCTAGTAAAAAAATAAAAATAAAAATAAATGGATATTTTTCCCATCTATCTTCAGATAGAATGGGAGGAAGAGAGAGAGAGAGATCGATACAAGAGAGACACATCGACTGGTTGCCTCCTGCACAACCTCGACCTGGGCTGGGGACGAAACTCTAACTGAGGTACATGTCCTTGACTGGAATCGAACCTGCAACTCTTTGGTCCGTGGGCTGACGTTCTAACCACTGAGCCAAACTGGCTAAGGCAGATTTATTGACTCTTTTATGACTTTCTCATTTTTCTCCATTGATTATTACCATGTGATTTTACTTTTCTAGCCTTAATTATGGTATATTAAATTGATAAATTTTCTAATATTGAACTAGCCTTGTATCTCAGCAGTAATTCCCACTTGGTCATGGTCTATAATTATTTTTTTATATATTGTTGAATTCTATTTGTTAATATTTTGGTAAGGATTTTTGCATTTGTAGTCATGGAGGATAATAGTGTGTATATACAGTGATACCTCGGTTCTCGAACGCCTTGACTTTCGACCAAATCGGTATTCGACCAGGAGATTCGAGAAACTTTTGCCTTGGAATCCGAACAAATATTTGGAACTCGAACTTCCGAGATGAGCCGAGTTGAGCCGAATGGCGTTCATTCGGCCCAGCGCGCCTTGCTTGCGTCATCAGTGTGAGTGCAGAGAGAGAGTCACGCTTTGTGGAGAGAGTCACGCTTTGTGGAGAGAGTCACGCTTTACACTGAATTTAACCCTTAGACATACTGTACACTTTTATTTCTTGTTGAGACTTATGTTTTTCTACATATTATATACAAATTAGGCCAGTAAATAGGCATTTTCTGGGGCTTGGAACGAATTAATCCAGTTTCCATTATTTCCTATTGGGTTTCATTGCTTCGGTTCTCGAACAATTTGGTTCTCGACCGTCCTCCTGGAACGAATTATGTTCGAGAACCGAGGTATCACTGTATGTATATATATATGTATATATATATATATATATATATATATATATATATATATATTCAGTTCCTATTCTCTGCAAGTCCAATTCCTTTCTCACCTCCATTCCAGCCCCTCTCTGAAACTGTTCTTTTAAAAAATTTTTCTCTTTCTTTATTGATCTTTTTGGGTTTTTTTTGACAGAGAGAGGAAGGGAGAGGCAGAGAGAGACAGAAACACTGATGAGAAAGAACATTGATTGGCTGCCTCCTGCATGCCCCCCACTGGGGATTGAGCCCACAACCTGGGTGTGTGCCCTGACTGGGAATCAAACCGGTGACCTCGTGGTGCATGGGTCAATGCTCAACCAGTGAGCCACAACAGCTGGGCTGAAACTGTTCTTGTACAAATCTCCAGCAACTTTCCCATTGCCAATTGCAGTGGTCACATTTCTACTTTGGTCTACATTCTGGTGCAATGGTCATTCTTAATTTTTTACTCAGGAAAATTCTAATGAGTGTTAACTTTAATGCTCAGGGTTCAGTTGTGTTCATTTGATGTTGTGATACTTCCTCTTGTTTGGGTATGTGATTTCAGATTGCAAGAGACTTTACTGATTACTTTAAACAGTGGAATGAATCTCTAGTTAGTGTGGTGATAGTTACTATTCTATGGTCCAAACTGCCAAATTTGTATGGTGACTCTTACAGAACCACATATTTTCTATACCCTCCCTTCCACTTATTATTAAACCAAAGTAAAATAATTTATTAAAACTAGTTAATAATGTAGCCTAGCCGGTGTGGCTCAGTGGATTGAGCATTGTCGCATTGACTGAGAGGTCCATGTTTTATTCCCCGTCAGGGCACATGCCCGGGTTTCGGGCTCGATCCCCAGTAGGGGGTGTGCAGGAGGCAGCCAGTCTATGTTTCTCTGTTACATTGATGCTTCTATTTATCTCTCCCTTACTTTCTGTAAAAAAATTAATGAAAACATTTAAAAATAAATAAAACTAGTTAATAATGTATTTGTGCAAAAATCCTATTACCCAGCTAGCTCACTTTTTGTTCACTGATGACCTTGGATTTTGAACATCATCATTATACAGATTTGCCTCTGTGGATGCTGAAATAAGTATACCAGGGTGAGGGGTAACTTCTAGTGCCTCACTGGGTCCTGGTACAGAATTCATTCCATAAGCAGCTCTGAGAGATCATATGTAGTTCCAACCAGAGAGCTGGAAACATGACCCATCTTATTTATATCCCAGCTGGTTGGCTTGAAAGGCTTAATTACAAGCAAAATGCTTAGGTCTGGATGCTATTGTAGATCCTGTAAAACTTTGTAAAGCAGTTATTCTTTTCATATAGTTCCTAAAGGGAAAAAAGCAGTATGAACAGTTTAAAAGGCAAGTTGAATTCATTTGTGTCTCTAGAACCAAGAAAAAACATCAATTTTACTTTTCTGAATTAAAAATCAACACTGTTTAAATATTGTGTCTCTTTTAGCCCCTCTGCATTGTTTCTGGAGATCTGACTCTTTGCTTTTGGTTTTCATGGATTATTAATGCAGTGAGCAGGTAGTCACCCTGTGTCCATTTGGTTCTAGAATTTAGTTCAGGAGAGTGCTATGGTTTACTAGGGTTTTAGAATGGCTATTGAAGATCTGGCCATGAATCTCAGAGACCGCTGGGAATCTGCTCTTGATCCTGCTCCTTAGTCTCTGTGTATTTCAATTCATTGTGTCTCTATCGGTGTCTGTAACTGATAATATTTCAACTCTTTTTTACAGAGGGACTTGTCAGGACACAAGAACATTGTGGGTTACATTGATTCTAGTATCAACAATGTGAGTAGTGGTGATGTATGGGAAGTGCTCATTCTGATGGACTTCTGTAGGGGTGAGTATATGAACCATAGCTTAAGCTTTCATTCACTAGCACTTTAATTGTCAAGGGCAGGGTGGTCATTTCAGTTATTGCAGTGTGCCCTAATGTGTGTTGTTCTAGTTTTAAAGGTTGGAAAGCTAAGATACTAAAAAATACAGTCTCCTGTCACCTCTTGATGATTCAGAGAATGGCAAGGATCAATGGCACAAACAATTCAAAATGGTAGATAATACAAAACTCCTTTTTAAAAAAACAAACAAAACGTTTTTATTGATTTTTTTTTTTTTTTTTAGAGAGAGAGGAAGGGAAAGAGAGTTAGAAACACTGCTGAGAGCAAAACATTGATCGGCTGTCTCCTTGCAACCCCCACTGGGGATTGAGCCCGAAACCCAGGCGTGTGCCCTAACTGGGAATCGAACCAGGACCTCTCGGTCCATGGGCCAATGCTCAGTCCACTGAGCCATACTGGCCAGGCCAAAACTCCATTTTTGTTAGGTTTAGAAAGGTTTAGTGCTTGTATATGAATGAGAATATATCAGAATGAGAATGAATGTGTTCTTTGTGATGCTTTAAAACAAATGATGAAGGCACATACATAATAAAGGCCCAATTCCAGATGGTCTAAAGAAACAATTCAGCTTCCCTGCTCCCTCACGCATGTGTTCTATTCTCCACCCACACCACCATCCTTGTTATGGGGTAAAAGAATCCTTTTTGTCTAATGGAAATGACCTTCCTCCCCTTGCTCGAGAGCTATAATTGCCAGTAAGGCTACATTCAAACCATGCTGCTCTTAACAGTGAAGATAAGTAGTTGAAAGCATGGAGTTTCAAGCAATATTTATCTTGGGAAATCCAGACTGTAACATGAATTTAATTCAGAATTGACTGCATTTCACACAACCATTGTTTGGAAGTTTGACTTTTTTAGGGCCTAAGCAGCTGCCTCTTACAAGCTTGGGTCACTGTCTCACTGTTTTGTAATCTCCCTTACTTTCACCAACATTTTCCTTGCCTTAGATACTGTCCATAAACTAAATAGGTTGCTAGGCCCAAAAATGTGATGTTAACCAATAATTTCAGCCTTTACTACATATCTGTTAATCTGATTTTTAGAATACTACCAGATTTGCACGTTGACAATTTGTTTCCTCCTGCCCATTCCTTTTTGAATAGTAAAATGTTTAGAGATGAGGCAGTGGGAGCATCCAGGGATCTGGCTAATTTTGTCAATGAAGCCATTAGGCTTTTGGTCGTGGAGATTAAATGTTGGTGTAGCATTTCTACAGACCAGGTAGCAAGTAGTGAAGCCAGGGAGACCAGGCTGTTCCTGAAGTACAGACTCTAAAGCTGCCTCCTTCCTTCCTTCTCCTGAGGTCTATTGTACAATTGGATTCTTACTAAAGAAGAGTTGAACCTGTGGCCTTGTCTCATGCACAGCGGGGACAGTATAACCAGGCAACTAGAGCAGGACCATATTGTCAGTTCTATTACTGATCTTGAAGACATAATGAGGGGAGCTTATGTCTGGGATGCTTTATAAAATAAGGAAACTGTTTTTGACACATTAGAGGAAGCACTGGATTGTAAAAAAACAAATCCCAGGCTGGAAATCAAGACAGCTGGGTTTTAGTCCTGGCTCACCCAGTGATTGACTCTGTTACCTTCGTCTAGGTTGCTGCTTTGTTGAGAGCCATTTATTCTCCTGAGTAAATGACGAATTTATAACCTCCCCTTTGCTCTGCACCCCTTAGGAGGCCAGGTGGTCAACCTGATGAACCAACGCCTGCAAACAGGTTTTACAGAGAATGAAGTGCTCCAGATATTTTGTGATACCTGTGAAGCTGTTGCCCGCCTCCATCAGTGCAAAACTCCCATTATTCACCGTGACCTGAAGGTAACACCACACTGTTTCATAAGTGTTTGTTCTTACAGTATTTTCTGACTGTCCCAGGAATGGGGTAGATAACTAGTGGGATATGAGAGAAGTTTAGGACATGGTCCCAGATTCAGAACTTGTATTCTGCTTGAGGAGAGAAACTGCAAAGGAAGAAAAGATACTAACAGTACAGTACAGGTATCAGCTTGTTTGTTTGTTTTTTATCCTCACCCGAAGACACTTTTGCATCCATCTTCAGATAGAGTGGGAGGAAGAGAGGGAGAGAAACATCGATGTGAGAGAGACACAACGACTGGTTGCCACCCACACGACCCCAGCCGGGGCTGGGGACAGACTGCAACCAAGATACATGCCCTTAGCAGGAACTGAACCCGGGTCTCTCTGGTCCGCAAGCCGACGCTCTAAATGCTGAGCCAAACTGGCCAGAGCCAGGTATCAGTTTTATTAGCTAAGTAGTTTTCAGAAATTCTTCATAATCATCAAATGCTTGAACACATGCTATTTTTATTCTTCCTGATACACTCTCAAATTCACTTTTCCAGGATTATGACAAGTAATATCTAATTTAAATAGTTTCTAAACAATGATACTTGGTCTTTAAAGTCTATTACTGATTTTGCAAAATCTGTTAATTGATTGCTCTTAAAATTTGTTCTACTAATTATGCCGTTGCACTAGGCCTTTCATATTGTAGTCACTTGACAGTGTTTATTGAATAGAATTGGCACATGATTAGGATTCGCTAGCATTTAAGGAGTAGCAACTGTGTGCCATGTACTCTACTCGACACTTTATGTACACTCCTTTGTTTGGAGGGAGACATTTTTCTTTACACTTTATTGTTGAGAAAACTCAGGAGCGGACAGGTTACGTGACTTGACTAAGTTCATGTAACTAGGAAGGAACAGTACTAGGATTTGAATCCACTTCTTCTGATTCTAAATTGCAGTTTGTTTTTATTATACCTGTGTTTTGAGAAATGTGTTTCATTACTAATAATTTATATCAGCATCTCCTAGTGTGCTTGTTAAATGCAGGCTGCTGGGTTCCACACTGAATATATTGGGCTGTAATTTTGGTGGTAGTGTCAGAGAGGCTCAGGAATTCATATCTTAATAAGTACCTCAGATGCTTTTTCTGTATTCTAAAGTATAATCTTTTGTATATTTAGCAGTATACTGGCATTTCTGTTTAGGCTTTTTTATTTAAGCTTTTTAAAAAATTGAGACATAATTCGTATACCTTAGAATCCATTCTTTAAAATTGTACAGGTCAGTGGCTTTTAGTACATTTATAAAACTGTGAAACCATCCCCACTATCTAATTTCAGAACATTTCATTACCCCAAAAAGAAATTCTGTATCCATTAGCAATCACTCTTCATTCTCTGGTTCTCTAACCCTGGACAACCACAACTCTATTTTCTATTGCATGTTCTGGACATTTCATGTAAATGGACTCGTACAATGTATGACCTCTTACATCTAACTTTTTTCATCTAGAATAATGTTTTCATCTATGTTGTAACATGTATCGGTACTTCTTTCCTCTTCATGGCAGGATATTCCATTGTGTGGATATACCACATTTATCTATTCAATCAGTTGACGGATAGTTGAATTTAGCTATTACGAATAAAGCTATGATGAACAACCATATGCTATTATGTAGGCATATATATATATGTATATTTTTTTAATCCTCACCCGAGGACATTATTCCATTTTTTTGTTCAGCTAGAGTGGGAGGGAAAGAGAGGAAGAGAGAGAGAAAAATCGATGTGAAAGGGACACATCAAGTGGCTGCCACCTGCACGACCCCAACCAGGGCCGGGGACAAACTGCAACCAAGGTACATGCCCTTAGCGGGAACCGAACCCAGGTCTCCCGGGACTGCAGGCTGATGCTCTAACCGCTGAGCCAAACCAGCCAGGGCTGTAGGCATATATTTTTAGTTCTCTAGGGTATGTACCTAGGCATAGAATTGCTGCGTCATCTGGTAACTGTGTTTTAACTTTCTGACAAATGCCAAATTATTTTCTAAAGTGGCTGCACCATATTACAACCCATAAGCAATATATGAGGGTTCTAATTTCTTCACATCCTCACCAATATTAGTTATTGTCCTTTTTTTAAATTATTTTTTTCTTTATTGATTTTTAGAGAGAGAGGAACGGAGAGAGAGAGATAGAAACACTGATGAGGGAGAACATTGATTGGCCTTGGAGAATAGGTCAGTGCTTGGGCTAAGGCAGCAGGATCCTCAGACTGTTTGTTCTTCACTGCACTGAACAGCCATGAGACGTCTCAGCAAAGGAACATGGAGCCAGTTGGCATTGGAGGGCGAGGCCTTGGCATGAGCGAGAGGCTGCCCTGCTCATTCCCGACTTGTCCTCAGCCCTGACCTCTCCTCAGTGTTTCTAAGAGGCAGCGCAGCATTGGGAGCACAGTGTTTCGCTCTGTAGTTGCGCTTTAATTGATACTGAAGATCATCAGGCATACTGCCAGGTGGCCGGTAGTGGTTTAAGGGGCTTTGTTTCTCTTTCTCCTCTACCTTGGAAATAGGGAATGTAAATAGGGGCCCCTGGGAGGAGGTGTTGATTGTGATTGTTCTAGAGGAGTCCTGTTGCTGCTGACTTGTGTCATTGACTCCTGGTTGTTTTGAGTGAAGCTTTCCACAACTCCACAAATCTTATACTTGGTTCCATCTCAATGCTTTCATTACATGTTAGATTTTGTTGATTCCTACTAGTATATGCATGGTGGGCAGTCACATTTCCCTGCCAGACTGCCAGCTTCCTAAGGCACAACACAAGTAAAGTCCCCATATACCTCTTGTTTGTCTCAGCTGTGTCATTTATCACATAGCCTAGGCTACTTTGAGCTCTGTCACTGCTGGAACCAGCCACTGCAGCCCTAGTGGTAGCCAGGGCCAAGAAGTTATTTATTCTTCTGCTGCCCAGAGAAAGTGTTGGTTGCTGGTCTTCTGGTTGCTTCTCTGTGAAGAGGATTTCCAGTTGGTGAGGTGACACCACTGTGAATTAAAAGTCAGTAGGACATGGGAGGAGCACAGGCAAGGTCAGCTGTGGACCCCTTGTTGAGTCCGTGCCGCCCTGTGTGGAGGTCTGCTTGTTCACATGCAGAACTGAGAAAAACCCCTCTTGTTCTGCCTGGTCTTTCTTTCCAATTACATATAGGAAATACACTGAAATTGTTCCTGGTCTTTAAGCAGCTTATGTTCTAAAAATAACCATAACAATTTCTGTTTCTTATTGAAGATCCTTCCTCAAATACATTATTTTAACATTTTAATTATTTCCCCCATGGGGTCATAAACCTGGGAAGTTCACCTAAGCCAGTCCTCTCCTTTGACCAATCAGGTGACCTCTGTCCAGAAAGGTTGTGATCTGCACAGTGAATTCAGCAATCAAATGAGAACAAAGACTGAAGTTTTTTTACTTTCATTTTGGTTTTGTTTGTTTGCTTTTGCTGTATTGGGCCATGCTGTTTTTCCCAGCACTTAAGAAGGAGGGGAAAGGATGAAAACTTAATAAGTGCATTGAAATTGAAAAAGTCATGAATGTCTTATCAGAAAAGCGATTTGGATCTCATGAAGTACAATAGGCTGATGATTCTTGTCCTATTTTTAGAATCACAAGTTTGAAAACCTGCATTCATCTAATCCTCCAGAATTTCCAGTGATAAATTCTGTGACTGAAATGCCTGAATGCCATATCTGTTTGAAATAATGTCAAGATGAAGAGGTCAGCAGGAGGTGGCTTTCCAGGCCTTTTAGCCAAAGCTATAAGTAGAGTTTGGAAGTGACAACTTTAATAACAATCTTAAGCCAATGGGTTGAGAAGGAAGGTCAGCAATATTAAATTCTCAGAGAGCTAAATGATTTGAGGATTTTAAGCAATGGCAACCAATGTTAGGCTTACATCCTGAAAGGGGCATTGCCAAAAACAAAGTCACTGTGCAAATTCTCTGAAGCTTTCAGAAGATGGTGTCAATATCCAGTTGATTCTCTTCCTTCCTAATCTCATTTAATCTCTCCTGACTCTATTCACCTTTCTTTTTCTCCCTCATCTATCACCATGCTAACCTTCCTAAAACACTTCTTTTTATCTGCTACTGACTGTTAAAAATGTTAAGTGGCTCCCTAGTGGCCTTCTTTTGTTTGCACTCTGCTTCTTTGGTCTTCTCTCCTTCTGCTCCCTTCTCTTTCTCCAGTCTGAACTGCCTGCCTGTGTTCCTTAATTGCATAATGTGCATTAGTGATGGTGTAGTCCTAGCAGTCAGGCAGCCTGAATCCAAATCCTGCTCTTCAAGTCTTGTGACCTCAGGTATGTTAGAAATGGAGTCCATTTTTCTCATCTGTAAAGTGAGGACAAAAAGGCTTTGTAAGAATTTTATGAAATACTGTAGGTAAAAGTGCATGGGGCAGTGTCTAGCACATAGTAAGTGCTATTAGTTGCTGATACCATTGTTGTTATTATCACTCCTGCCTCTGTGCCTTTGTTCCTGTTATTAGTTTCACTTATCTAAGGCCTTAACTCTTCCAAGGCCCAGCCTTATCTCATCTCCCTATTCATAAGAGTGCTGACCCATAATTATCCAATCCCATGTTTCCAGTTTTCTTTGCAATACCAGTGACCAGCACAGTGCCGTTCTATCCACAGTGTTCTCCCTCTGTGCCTCGGGCACCTCAAGCGTGCTCCCATTTCAGTACCTTCATGCTGGCTGCTCTCTGCTTGGAGTGTTCCTTCCCTCAGATGGTTCATGTCTGCTCCCTTCTTCATTTTGGTCTCTACTTTCCTCATCATAGTGACCTTCCCCGACTGTGTTAGTTACAGTAGCATCCCTCTACACCTTATGTATATTTAACCTGTTGGATTTTTTCATAACATTTATCACCAACATGCAATTATTTTCTTATTGTCCTCAACTGGACACTAAGCTCCATGAAAGGTTAAACTTTGATTAGTTCACAGCCTTATCCACAGAACCTAGAAAAGTATTTGGCATGTAGTACGAGTTTAAATATGTTTCTTTAATCAATGAATGGTAGTAATAAGTTACGTTTATGTAGGGAGATCAACAGTGATAGAAATATTATCAACTTTACTTTGCAGATGAGAAACAAGCCCAAAGAGCTTTAAAGATTCGTCCAAGGTCAAACATCTGAAATAGTCCCTGAAGTCTTCTGAACTCCAAGTCCAACGTGGTTGCCACACACTATGCCCTGTGTTAAGTTTTTGGGTGATGATGGTGGTGCTGATGATGGAGGTTAGCAGTCAGCTTGAACTTGGAGGTTTTCACAGGTGTTATAAATCACAGGGACAGATTGCTGCGATTTCGCGTTGTTGATTTCATATGATTCTCCTTGCAAAGTAGCAGAGCAGGGATTACTGTTTTTACCTGCATTGGTATTTCTTTGATATTGATAAAGCTTTCTCTGCATTGATATTTCTGGCACTCTTTTCTACTTTTGTATACACCCTTAAAGTTTAACTGGTTTTCCTGTAAATATACTTTTATACAATGTTATGTTTGTGCGAGGGAGGGAGGCAGGCTGAGGTGAACCAGACTGGATGTAGTGGGTATACATTTAGGATGGTTGGTATGATTTTGTATAACTAGATTAAACTGATGAGCTGTATTAAAAAAAAGCTATAGGTATTTGCCTGCCTAGCCTTATCTGTGGGGAACAAGTCTCCCCTAAGAATTCCTAATCACAGGAGCAGAGCATATGTATACAAGTAGATGGCCATAGTTCACACTGCCTGTGTGGCTAAAAATTCCTAGGTCAAAATTCTAGATTAAAATGAGTACAGGTTATTAGTGCGCCAGATGCACAAGCATATCCTTTATGGAAGAACAGTAGACTTTTAACTCAGGCCCCAGAGGCTTCCCACAGATGAATTCCAAGGAGGATAAGTTAACAAAGATCTTGTACAACATCACCATGAGTGAGTCTCAGGAAGAATAAGAAACAAGAAACTATAGAATCAGTTGCAGCAAAAATTTTAGGTATTGGATTTGCAGATACAGACTATAAAATAAACACTTCTATAATATATAATATAATTTTTATAAGAATTAAAATGTATAAACAAGAGACTATCATAATTGACCAGATATTTTTAAAAGAACTGGTAATAATAGTAGGGCTTGGACATTTGGTGGCTCCTATTTTTCTTTTGATAGACTGACATCACACACACACACACACACACACACACACACAGTATTATATATGTTTGTGTATTTTAGTTTATTCCATTCAACCAAGATTTTCTGTACCAAACACTGTTAGACACTGGTAGAGAAGACTGCAGATATACCTGTGCTTGTCCTTAAGGAACTTTGTGTCTACTCTTGCCTTTGTTTTCCAAAGGTAATCGATCTTTGAAAGGCTGAAGACAAAAGACAATGGAGACTACAGACTTATTGGTTTAACAAGATTTTTTGGCTGCCCATACATAGCCAGGTCTGTCCTCCAGTATACCACTCAACTAAATTTGTTACTGGCATCAGGGTTCTTGGGTTCCCCAAGATAGAAATTTCCAGTCAGATTTTATTCAATTTATGCTTAAGCACAAAGGAGACAGTCCTGAAAGAAACACAATTTGGGGCTGCTTCTTGAATGGCTTGAGGGAGAGGCTTTTATGAACAAGAGAGGGAAGGGCTCATACAAACTTTGAGCAGAGAATGGAATTTTCTGTGAGGATTGGAGAAACAGGGTTAGAAGAAAGATAAAATTCTGCAGTTTTTTTTCAAGCAGGGAGTGGAGAGATTGGTGACATTCTTTTTGGGGGGAGGGGGCATTCTTATGGTGTCATCTAGCTTCCCTGGCCATCTAGCATCCTTGGGATCCTGGTGAGGGGCAGCAGGGTGGCTCCAGCTCTGCAGTTTTTTTCTTCTGGCCATCTGGTACTCTTGGGATCCTGGCTCGGGTGTCTCAAATTCATCTACACCAAAAATTAAAACATCTTGAGTACAGTAATGCTTGTTATTTTGGAGTTATTTTACTGGCAGAGCCCTTTGATACCAGGATTTTACTAGGTTCTGATCTTTATAAGTTACCTTCTACCTAGAACTGCCCAAAGAATTCATCTGTAAAAAGACAGGGATAATACTTTAACAAGAAAACTTCACAGTTGCCAATCACCCTTTATTCACTTTGAGAAGTAACTAAAATACAGCAAATATCTATTAATTCTGATAATCCTAACCTCTTGTAGTAAAGAAATTGATGTATGTATTTACAAGACCCAAGTGAAATAATTGTTATCAGGAAGAACAAAGTACTGAAGGAACACAGGGGAGGAATGATATTTTTCTAAGTGGGGGCCTAAGGAAGCCTTCAAAGAAGAGATGGTATTTAAACAGTAGTTTGAAAGGAGAATGGGATTTTGATAGTTGGGTAAAGGTGGGGATCATAGAGAGCATTCAAGACTGAAAGAAGAACATGACAAAAGATGTAAAGGCTTCAAAGTATAAGGACAGTTTCTGCAGAGGTGAGAAATGTGGCTAGAAATAGAAAAATGAGACTCTTCCCCACATGGAGTCACCTCTTTTTACCTCCTCCACTCTAATTTTTTCGTGTTACTGTGCATCTTGTTTTGTTCCACTTGGGATAACTGCTGTTGATATACTTGGAGGATAACTTTCCTGCGAACATTAATGGGATTATCAGAAATAAACTAATTTTATTTATGTGAGAACCAAAATTTGACACACACTACTAAATGACATGTTGGAATGGATGGTTGGGGAATGTTTTTCAGGTTGAAAATATCCTCTTGCATGACCGAGGCCACTACGTCTTGTGTGATTTTGGAAGCGCCACCAACAAATTCCAGAATCCACAGTCTGAAGGAGTGAATGCAGTAGAAGATGAGATCAAAAAGTAAGCTTTTCCTTCTTTCTTGGAGATCAGCAACTTTCAGCTAATGGATGAGGAGATCAGGGTGGGAAGACAATGATGCTAGTCAGTTGCTCCTTTTCTTAGATAATCGAGTTGGCCATTGGATTGTTTGATTTTGAGTGGAGGAGGTGGAGGGGGTTTACAATTATTGATCAGTAGAGTAAAATGAAGGACTCTTATCATCAATAGGCCTAAGATCATTGTACATAGATATTTTGATTTATGTCACATAGCCCTTAAAAAGCTGAATAGTGCACACACTGTAGAAATACTATGATGTTGTTTTATTTTGTTTTCGTTCATCCTCACCCGAAGATATTTTTCCATCGATTCGCAAACACTGTGCAAGGGAGGGAGGGGGAAAGGGAGAGAGAAAGATTAGTGTGAGAAAGACACATTGATTGGTTGCCTCATGCACAATCCCAACTGGGCAGGGGATCAAACCTGCAACCCCCAGGTACAGGCCCTTTACTGGGAATCAAACCTGAGACCCTTCAGTCCTCAGGCTGATGCTCTAACCGCTGAGTTAAACTGGCCAGGGCTACTGTGATGTTTTTAAGTGGGATTACAACACCCATATTATTACTCAGTTGGATGGGCTTTTACTGACCCTAAATTGCTTTGTATTTCATTCTTCTCATAAGGGGCTAACCTGCAGTATAGTGGAGGACTGAGTAGGGCTATTGAAGTCTCTACAAGTATTGAGTCACTGATTTTCATGAGTAAAGCTTCTTTGGATATGTGACTCCAGTAAGAACTTGACCCATTTTTCCTGTGGTCCAAAGTTTTGGATTTTCACAGGCAACAGCACTCACTGTTACTACTACTATTAAATCAGCAGTCTAGCATGCCCACTCATATCCTGATCCTTTCTTGCATCACGACCCTGGCAACCACACCTGAGGCAGGGAAACTTCTGGTCCAAGGCCCTAATGGACACCTAAACCACAGTATGCTCTGGGTTCTAGAGACTCAAGCAGCATAAGTTACATGCTTGGTAACACCAACACACTCACTTTGAACATTAGCTCATATTATTCTTTTCTTGTGTCAGAGATAAGAGGAAAGCTGTTGTTTTAGCCCTAATTCAGCAGCAAAGATCTTTCCACCTCCCACCCCACCCAGGGCCCATTTTCTACTGTTCTCCAGAGTGCCCTAGCCAGTGTTATGTCTCTGTGTCAAGCCACATGAAAAGGGATTACTGTTTTTAAAAACATATCAACAAAATGTAGTATCAAATAACAGGGATTTATAGTAGAAAATTTTGTTATTTGAGGACCCAAGAAAAGTTGCTTTTAGAGTTTATTTAATGCTATAGTTTCTGGGTCCCCACATGTTCTTAGATTAGAACTGCTGCTAGTGGGTCACGGATGTACCAAGGACAGCTTTTTATTTTATCTGCACTAATATTTTATGCTCTCTTCTGCAGATTGCTCCCGGGGAACTCCAGTACACACACACACGCGCGCACACACACACACACACACACACACACACAGTATTTCTGCTACCTCTGGAATTATATTATTGATATATTTAACAAAAAATGAATCTCTTGATTGTAGATACACAACGCTGTCCTACCGAGCACCAGAAATGGTCAACCTGTATAGTGGCAAAATCATCACTACGAAGGCAGACATTTGGGTAGGTGTCAACTAACCTGTCCACATCTCAAATATCAGCAGCTTTGACTATACTCTCCCAAGTTTAATCCAGACAGTGCCATAGCAAGAGTGGCCATTGTACCATATTGTTGTCTACTTACTCTTGGGTTATTCTTAACTCAAGGTGACCAACCGCTGCTTCTTTAAGCATGTGAAAGAAAATTACTTTAAAGCTCTGTGAGGATTATTTGATGATCTGCCCATTATTTAGAAGGTTGTCACGTGTTACTAGTTCTTAAGAGCAAAACAGCTGAAATACTTGTTCTTTATTAGAGCTCAGTTTGGTAATGACAGTAGAAATAATGTAACTCGGCAGCTTAATAGTGGTGTTGGGTTCTAAATTCAAATTATTAACAGGGTAATAGTACATAGTTTTTATATTAGCTAGTAAATGTGGATGGTGCCTGTGTCTCTCAGTAGAGAGACACAGGCTTATGGTAAATAAACCACTAGTAGCAATCTGCTTTCTTTACTTTTGTAGGCTCTTGGATGTTTATTGTATAAATTATGCTACTTCACTTTGCCATTTGGGGAGAGTCAGGTGGCAATTTGTGATGGAAACTTCACAATTCCTGATAACTCTCGATATTCCCAAGACATGCACTGCTTAATTAGTAAGTATTTCAAGTTTCTAGTTTTATATTTTTATCTTTAATCTCTAGGAATGAATTGGAGGATAAAGGAAGTGGTGGGTTGGATGCAAAGATAAAGAAGTTAGTTGATAATGGTTGGTCACTCAAACATAATATAATAGTATCTAGTGAGAGTGGTGGTTTTTTTTGCTAGAAATCTAAACCGTTTTACACCTGAGCCAGTCACCTGAGCAGAAATCCTAAAGTGCTTTGAGCAATATAGTACTGCTCTGTTCTCTTGTAGTCTGTATGAAAGCTCTGGTACCAAAGGAGTACAGCTGACTCATGTCAAGTGATAAGAAATTCATCTTTGCAAAACTGGAAGCAGCTCAAATTAGAATGATTGCAGTGCATTGGCTGTAGTGAATACATAATTAAGACTGTATAACTCTGTGGAATAGGTTTTCATGCTCATTTAGGTTAATCACTGGATTTTGATAACAAATATTTAAACTCAATACTTTGTTTTAAATGTTTTTTATAATTCTCTGCTTTTTTGCTTTGTCATAGTAAGCATATGTACCAATGTTCATTAACCAGATGGTAGAACAAGTAATCTTTGTATAAGCCCCTGTACTAAAATGCTAAAGAAATAGGTTATTTTTTTTAAATGTTTTTATTGATTTTTTTTTAGAGAGAGAGATAGAAACATCGATGAGAGAAGCATCAACATTGATCGGCTGCCTCCTGCACTCCTCCCACTGGGGATCGAGCCTCCAACCCAGGCTTGTGCCCTCTTGATGCATAGATCGATGCTCAACCACTGAGCCACACTGGCAGGGCCAGATTATTTTATTATTATCTTTTTATATCAGTGAACACATGTGGCATCTAAATTTTAACCACTATAGAATTATAAATCCTGAGCAACCCAGTTTGAGGCTTGAGTGGGGATGCTCTGGAGAAAATAGATGCCAACGTGGGTGGAGCATCTGACATGTTTTCAGGATCTACTTGTACATTGTTTATACCTCATTTAATTCTTAAAATCTTATATAATTATCCCCATTATGCAAATAAGGGAACCAAAGCTGTGAAAGTATAGGTAACTTACCCAAATTAACATAGTTTGTTGTTGTTGTTTTTAATATGTATTTATTGATTTATTTATTTTATTTTTTTTATTTTTTGTACAGATAGAGTGGGAGGGAGAGAGAGAGAGAGAAACATCGACGTGAAAGGGACACATCGAGTGGCTGCCACCCACACGACCGACCAGGGCCGGGGACAAACTGCAACCGAAGTACTTGCCCTTAGCGGGAACCGAACCCGGGTCTCTCCAGACCGTAGGCTAACGCTCTAACCGCTGAGCCAAACCGGCCAGGGCTGATTTTTTTTTTTTAAGAGAGAGGGAGAGAGGTACAGAAACATCAATGTGAGAGAGAAACTTCTATTGGCTGCCTCCTGCACGCCCCCTGCCGGGGATTGAGCCTGCAACCTGGCATGTACCCTAACCTGGAATTGAACTGGGACCTCTTAGTCCATGGGATGATGCTCAACCCACTGAGCCACACCGGCTGGGCAACATAGTTATAGTTTTTAAGTGACTGCCCATTCCATTGTGCCAATTTGATCAATCAACCTCTTGCATTTATTAACAGAAAAGTGAGGGAGGGTGTTTAAAGGAATGGAGTGTGGTGTTTAATGGTTATTGGATTGTTTCAGAGGTAAAGTGTTATATCTATTCTAGAATTGTAGCTATTTAAATGAGATTAGAAGTAAATACAAGAAAATGGCCCAATATGATGCTAGGATGATTGGATTTATTTTGTAATGAATTTTTTTCTTTTTAACATTTTTGCAGCAAATTATCTTAGGAAAAACAACTCTGTGAATGTAACATGACATCTTTACTAAACTCCGATCTATTTCAGTTTACAAACTCTTTCAAGATTCTTTTGCCACCCTACATTCACAGGTCTAAAATTAAATATATTGCCATCTCCCTCACCCCCTTTTACTCCCAATTCAAAGTTCCTCACTTTTGAATTTCTATTAATGGTGTCACCATTAATTTCTGGAAGACTGAAATTTAAGGTTTTCTTTGGATTTGCCTAGCAAGAGAGAGGCCTAGCAAGAGAGAGGAAAGGGTATTTCCTAGGTGGCATTAGTTCTTTCTTTGGCATTTCCTGTTACTACATTCTCTCCATTCTCATTACTATCAGGGTAGTATACACAGACTCTGGTAGCTCATGCCTATAGTGAATTACCCATAGCCTCTCCCCTCTGTCTTCAGTCTATCTAGTACACCTTAACCACAAGATTAATCTTGTATAATGCTACTCTATCATGTGCCTATTCAGTAACTTTATGGCCACATTAGGGCCCAGATTTTTAGTATGGCATTTAAAATCTTTCATATTCTGGTTCCATTCCACCCACCCGGCCTTATTTCCCTGTACTCTCTGACAAGGAAATCTATGCCCTGCCTCTGGCTCCTCTATTTCCTTGTAACAAGACATTTTTTGCCTTCCACCGAGTCCATCTTTGCTCAGCCTGTTTTCTTACCTGGAATGTCTTTTTCTCTGTTTTCCCCTGACTAAATTATTTCCTGCCTTCAAGGATCAGCTCAAGTCCTGTCTCTTCTGCAAGACCTTCACAAGAATGCAGCCTCATCAATTTTTTCTGAACTTAGTGTTTGATTTCTTAAGCAATAAGTTGCCTTGCATTGTTGTGTGTGTGTGTGTGTGTGTGTGTGTGTGTGTGTGTATCTTCTTAAAAGATTTTTTTTCTGAGGATTTTTGCCATTTCAGAAAGGGCAGCTAGAAACTGACAAGTGATCATAGTTCATGGTAAAAGTAGAGATGTATTTGTTATTTTGTCATTTCCTTTAGACTTGAAACTAGCTTAGATCTCCAACAAAAAAATAATAAATTCATGAAATTTAAGTTTTGGTTATAATCATCGAGAATAATCATTTGTTTAGCAAGATCATATGAACTAAGAAGGCCAGAAGCAATACCATGTAATTTCCTAGGTACCAGAATATAAAGGTAGTAACTTTCATATTGAGAATTTGAGTCCCTGGTGTGCAGACCACAGAGTGTGAACTTCAAGTATCTTTGTTACAATTCAAAAACTGTATTATTTTATTGTGGCTATTAAAAATTTTAGGAAAGTGTGAGAGCTTCCCTTTCTGAGAGGGGAGGCAAAGGACAAATTGCACTGACTTTTGTGAGGAAAACAAAATTAAAACAACAGATTTTGGTAATAGAGAGATTATTATACTTCCTAGCTAATGTACCAACTATTAGGATACTATTAAATGAGTTAACATATGTTTGTCTTAGGGTATATGTTGGAACCAGACCCTGACAAAAGGCCGGATATTTACCAGGTCTCCTACTTCTCATTTAAACTACTCAAGAAAGAATGCCCAATTCCAAATGTACAGGTATGTGAAAGGTGCTGTTAGGGGAATTATTGAATGGTCATTTTGAATTCCTGGGGTGTTAAGCAGCTTTTTAGTAAATGTAGATGTCCCTTGCTTTATCTAGTAGGGCTCATTCATGGAAAACGACCTAGGAAGCAATTGCTATAAACAGAATCCAATATTCCCATAGTATATAATTATAAAACTGAGTTAATTACACAGGGAAAAAGAAAAAGCCCTAGGGATTGCATTGAACATTTTGGGTAAAGATTGACCAAACTACAGTCTTGCTGATTTTCACAGTTCACTAAGAGCCAGGTTCTTATTGTATTTACCTAGAAGTGGTTAGGCTGGCTGCTTTCCTGTGACAAGGCCCTGGACTTATCTGCCTAACCAATTGGAATAGAAGCCCCTTGTCCCTTTTCTCCTTTATGCAGCAGTGCTTTCTTGAGTTTGCTTCTGCTGTTAGCCATCTGTGACTCATACTCCTTTTCCCCTACCCTCCCCACACACATCAGGCCATAGGGATGCTTTCTACATTCAGTAATCCTAAACTCTGCACTCACGGTCTCAGTGCGCAGTTCTTGCAAACACCCTTTTTACAGCCTTGGCATATTTTCATACTGTGGTATGATCCAACTCTCTTGAATATTGTACTGATGTGTGCCATCATAAGTTCTGATCTGAAATTTTCTTGCCTGCTTCTCCAGTAATGAACTTCTGATGTCATTTTTAGAGCTGATAAATAACATTCCATTTTTACTCCCACATTTGGATCATATGTGGGAATCATTCAAATGGAGCTCAGAATATTGGCTTTATTACTGATAAGATTGAACGAGGCTTGACCCTTCAGGCTCCTTAACATTAGAGCCTCATGACTGAGCAGTGAGCACCTGATTCATGAGAGGCAGGCTCTTCTCTAAAGGAGGGAGAGCAAGGGCAAGCCAGACAAGCTCACATTTTTCTCCCAGTCTTATCAGTCAAATAAGTTATACCTTCTCCCTTAGGAGAAGAATGCTTGGAGAGTGAAAGAGAAGCTAGGAGACATTTTCTGCAGAAAACCCCCCAACCTGGAAACCGTGAAGGAAATGAGACATCCTCTTACAAACCAGTTTCATTACTAGTATTCCTTTTGTCATGTTTCCCAGAATAAACAAGGGATACTGTACAGTAACTAACATGACCATGTTTTCTTTTACTGTCCCACTTTCTCATTCATAAAATTAAGTAACATGAAACATAATTGGAAGCATTTGGATTGGTAACCAGTTTTTAATAAGTCAGCTTCACAAGTCTCAAGTCATTTGATGCTCACTCAGCAGTGTAAGCTGTGGTCTTATGGTTAGGGACAGCCAGTGCTCCCTCGAGAGACAGTGTTACATGGATGGTGCAGAATCCAAGCCAGAGGAGTTCTGCTTGGCTTGTGGACTGAGTAGTTCCTCATGTGCTGGAAAGAGGTGCTGGCTCAGCAACCAGACACACTGTGGCACTCTAACTGAAAGACTGTCGCACCCTGGTTGGGCTCTAACTTCTAGTCAGCTCTAACTTCTCTAATATCTAGCTGAGAGCTTAAATAGTAACATAGGTTACAGACATTTCTTTCCATTCTTTTCATAGCCTCGCTTCTAAGCTGTGCTATAAGGAGAGAAGGGTACTGACATTAAGCCCCAGTGACCTTAGCCATACAAGAGGTTGAGAATGATGGCAGAGGAGTGTGCTGTTCGCGGGCTGCTCTGTCCTCTTCTCAGATATTTGCTGCCCTGACTGAGACTGAGTCCAGTAGGATATGCTTTTGCTTAACTTTCCATCTCTCTACCAGAGATCAGGGTCTGGAAACCACTGTATAAGAAGCCCAACACATATTTCCATCAGCTTAATCATGTTGGTTATTCTTTTACAAAGAAATCTGTGATGTTCTTTTTAAAAATTTTCTTTCAATTCTATAGAACTCTCCCATTCCTGCAAAGCTTCCTGAGCCAGTGAAAGCCAGTGAAGCAGCTGCAAAGAAGACCCAGCCAAAGGCCAGGTAAGAAATACCTTAGTGCCTGGCCAGTGTGGCTCAGTGGAGTGAGCATCGTCCCATGGACTGAGAGGTCCCGGTTCCATTCCCAGTTGGGGCACATGCTCCGGTTGCGGGCTCGATCTCCAGTGGGGGGCATGCAGGAGGCAGCTGATTGATGTTTCTCTCTCACATTAATGTTTCTATCTCTCTTCCTTCCTCTCTCTAAAAACTCAGTAAAAACATATTTAAAAAAAAAAAAGAAACGCCATAATGAGCACCTGTTGTACTCTCTCCATTGACTCAGTAGCCGGGGAAGGTGCTTTGTATTTCTTGGTTCTTGTACTGCCATGGCCAAGAGGCTGCACAGCACAAAAAAGCAAGCTCTGTCTCCTCTAAGTAGAAGCTGTCCTTCGGAGTGCAAGGAGGAATATAATGAAATACAGTGATCTACATTTGAAAGAGAATAAAAAACTCCACAGCTGTTTCCCTTGCCTGAGAATAGGCACAGGGCATTCAGAAATGAGGCAACAACAGACTTCAAATATTGCTAGTACAAGAGTATCCTAAACAGGTGTGCTGGCCTTTGTTTAGCCTCCTTCAGCACCCTAATATTCCACCTCCCTTTTCTTTTCTTTTTTTTAATCTTCACCAGAGGATATTTTCTCTAGTTATCATCAGATAGAGGGGAAAGAGGGAGAGAGAGGAAGAGAGAGAGAGAGAGAGAGAGAGAGAGAAAGAGAAACATCGATGCCAGAGAGACACATTGACTGGCTGGCTGCCTTCCACATGACCTGACCAGGGCCGGGGATGAACTGCAACTGAAGTACGCACCCTTGACCGGAATCGAACCCTCAACTCTTTGTTCCGCGGGCCAACGCTCTAACCACTGAGCCAAACCGGCCAGGGCTCCCTTTCCTATTTTCTCACTCTGCCCCTGATCACATTAGGAAAGTACAGGTCAAAGCACTGAGTTCATGAACAGCCACAGCCAAAAAGCCTGTGGATCTAAGCTAATCACATTCTGTGTAACTTAGGGTCTTCCAAGAAGCAGATGCTAAGAGAGGACAAAAGAAGCTAGGATTTTATTTGGGGAAATGCTCGAGAGAGAAAATAGGAAGGGAGCCAGAGAATGCTGGAAGAGCCATCGGAAGGTAATGTAAGTCTGATCAGAGAAAGGGAAAGGGAGGAGAAAGTTGGGTGGAAGTGAAAAATTGCCACACAATTTAAGAAAGGTTCTCCAAAGGTGTCTGAGAATCCTTACATCAGAGTCAGCTACCAGATGAGTCCCCTTTGTCCCAGCAACAGGCTTGCCTCAATATCCTTGTGGCTTGGAGAGTAAGACTGGAGCAGCCTGTGGGAAGTGTGGCCTCAGTGCAGACACAGCAGTGACAGTGGATTTCAGAAGCACAGTAGCCAGCTGGGGCACTTGGTCATTTATTTATTTGTTTGTTTGTTTTTGTTATTTATTAATTTTTGTTAATCCTCACCCAAGGATATTTTTCCATTGATTTTTAGACAGAATAGAAGGTGGGGGAGAGAGAGAGAAGCATCGATGTGAGAGAGACACATCAGTTGGTTTCCTCCCTAATGACTGGGGCCTGGGGCCAGGGACCGGGACCAGGACCAGGAATGGAACCTGCAAGTCCTTGCCTGGGAATCAAACCTGTGACCCTTCAGTCCATGGGTTGATTGATGCTCTAACCACTGAGCAAGACTAACCAGGGCAGCACTTGGTCTTTTATAACTCTTATACTTTAAGATCTGCAGGACACACACTCATGTGCTCTGCCTTCCAAATGGCAAATTCTGAGGGGAGTCCCAGAGATATTTACACCCCTTTTTTTCTTCCACATGCCCATGGCAAGGAAACATTAGCAGCAAATTATCAACAAAATACCCTGGATGGGAATATGTGAATTTTTATAGAATTGTAAAATTACTTTTACATTAAAAAAAAAATTCTTGTTTCTAGAATGCCTGCTGATACGGCTCTAAAATATTGAGATTTTGGTTTTTGACAAATTTAGCAAACTATATGTATGTTGTTACTTTGTAGTCTGTCTGTTTCCTGTTTAAGTCTGCCATACTCACCTCTGGGAATTGCTTCAGGAGTTGATTTAATAGCTTAGTTTTGGGGTTTATGGTCATCTGTACTAGGCCCAAACATGGTATGTACTGTGGCTAAGCAAGGATCTCTTTCTACAAAGCACACATTTATAAAAATGATAATAATGGTAAATATTTGCGTGGTGCTCTGTTGTGTAAAGTGGATAAAATAGTATCTATATCATAAGGCAGGTAAGAACATCAAATGCATAAATGGCTATGAAACTGTTTTATAAACTGTAGATTACCCGAACTATTCATTTCTTTTTTTTTTTTTTTTTTAATCCTCACCGGAGGACATTTTTCAACACTTTGTTGAGATAGAGTGGGAGAAAGAGAGAGAGAGAGAAATCGATGCGAAAGGGACACATCGAGTGGCTGCCACCCACACGACCCAACCAGGGCCGGGGACAAACTGCAACCGAGGTACATGCCCTTAGCGGGAACCGAACCCGGGTCTCTCTGGACCACAGGCTGATGATCTAACCGCTGAGCCAAACCGGCCAGGGCCGAACTATTCATTTCTATAGACCTCAATAATGCTGCAAGAACACACAGACATGACAGCCAAGAAATCTGGGTCTAAGTAGTCCTACCTGTAATTTACAGTGATTTCATTTGCATTATCATATTTACTCCCCAGTCCTGACAGGAAGGTTTTCTTTTCTAACTCTGTTTTTAAAGTGGCCACTATTTATTAAAACGTCATATATACCAGATACCATACTAGGCACATTACATAAATAAGATGGCTTTTTTCCACTTTTAAAAACAAATCTAGCCCTGGCCGGTTTGGCTCAGCGGTTGGAGCGTCCACCTGCGGTCCGGAGAGACCCGGGTTCGGTTCCCGCTAAGGGCACGTACCTTGGTTGCAGTTTGTCCCCGGCCCTGGTTGGTCGTGCGGGTGGCAGCCACTCGATGTGTCCCTTTCACATCGATGTTTCCCTCTCTCTCTCTTCCTCTCTCTCCCTCCCACTCTGTCTGTACAAAAAATGGAAAAATGTCCTCGGATGAGGATAAAAAAAAACTTAAAAAAAACCCAAAAACAAATCTATGAGGTTGTTGTTATTTTCATTCTATAGATGAGGAAACAGACTCAGAATTTTAAGTTGCCCAAGGCAGTTAGTCACTATACAAGTCCCAGACCTCCAGCATCCACACTGTTTGCACCTCTATCTCAGTTACTTGCCCAAGATAACACAGAGAAGACAACTTAGAGTCAGCTCTCCTGGCTTTTCAGTCTGTATTTTCTCATAGCATATTGCAGTCTATACAAACTGAGAGTTTTATTTTATTCATGCATTTGATGTTCACATTCACCACATGATGTAGGTATTGTTTCTCCTTCTTACATATTAAGGGACCCAAGGCTAAAAGAGGTTAAATAGTATGCCCATTATTATTATATAGTTCGTAGGTGAGGAGCTAGTGATCAAATATAGTTTTCTTTGATTCCATATCCCAGTGCCTCTAAGATGTTGTTACCCTTAGAAGAAGTCTTCTGTAGAAGTTTTTAGCATTTGTTTTTCTACTAAAGTCTGTTTATGTCTCTCACCCTTGGCTTTATCTTTCTTACACTTTTCTCATTTCCCTTGCCAACTCCCTTCCCCAGGATATAGCCTCCACAAATGTGATCACTTTTATATCATCAGATCTTCACCCAGCATAAGAACTTCTCTCTAGCACAGCAGTTTTCAACCGGTGTGCTGCAAGAATTTTTAAAACATGCAATACCTGACTATTTAGTCAGGGGCATTGACCTCTTTTCCCTTAGATTGTCAAGTAAAAACATGACAGCAGTCAACACAACTATAGTCATCTGGTATGAATGAATCAAAATGATACCTATTTTTAGGTCAGATATATTTTTTGGTGTGCTGCAGAATTTTAGTAATTAGTTTATGTGTGCCATGAAGTTTAGAAAAGGTTGAAAATTGCTACTCTAGCAGAATGCTAGTGAAAAGCCTCAGGGTCCAGAATGGAATACCTTGGAGGTATGTCACAGGGAAGGACATGGGACCAGCTGCTTTGCTTCTTGTTTTGTATTTCATGGAGGCTGTGCCAGACATATTTTGGAAGTATTCATGAAGCTTGTTTATTTTGGCCTTAACCTCAGCTATACTCCCTAAAGTGATTTTCAAAGGACAACCACTCTGATCTGAGCTGGGTAGTAGCCAGCTGCCTGGACTGCTCTAAATGAATGGAAGTCACCACCTGGGGTTTAGCACCATCACAAGAAGAAAGCAGACCACACAGCAGCCCTCCCCATATTGATTTGGGTTAGATTTGGCTGTGAGTTACAGAAAGTCCAAAATTACAGTGGCTTATATAAGATAGATGTTTATGTTTTTATCTTACATAAAGCCTGAGGGTCAGTAGTCCAGGTAGTACAGTTCTGCTCCACAAAGCCCTCAGGTGCTCAGGCTTCTTCATGTTCACCACTCTACCATCCCTCAGGTTGTGGCCATGACCTCATGGACCAATATGGCAGCATCCCTGTTCCAAGAAGCAGGATCAAGGAATGACCAAAGAAGAAGGGAGACAAAGGGCATGTACAAGTTATTTCTTAAGGTTTTAGAAACTGCCACATAACAGTCTGCTTGCATCCCATGTAAGGCCAGAACTTAGACACATGGCCACACCTGATTACAAGAGAGACTGGGCAGTTTGATTTTTACTCTGGGAGACGCTATGCTCAGGTAAATATTGTATTACCATGGGGAAAAAAATATGTGGGTTAGAGGAAATGGAGTTCCTGTCACACTCCCTAAGTCTTTCATCTTGAATTATTTACATATTCCCTTTAGTTGCCTTACTGGATTAATTTATTTGCATACTTTTTATGGTAGGGAGTCCATTTTGATAGCTAGTTTTAACCAAGTTTGAGTTCCCTCTACATCTGAATACCACCTGCTTCAAATCCCTCTTTGCATCATCACCCAAAGTATATTCTGGGAAATTCTAGAAAGGAAGTATTAGGTAAAAGGGTCTCAAGATCAAATACATTTGAGAAGCACTGCTTTCTATACAGTACTTTCTTTGAGGTACTCTATACATATTCACACATGAAAGGTTCTGCTGAAATGTTAAAACTTATTTACCCATGAAACCTTTATTAATAACATCTAATAACATATAACACCCCCTGGGAAATGTTGATTAAGTAGATCTGAAAGGTTTGAATGAGTGTGGAGGGTAAAGCTAATCCATCATGTTCTCTGTATGCCCCCCTCCCGTTTTCTCACACATTAATATGAACCTTTGTTTTTCTTTTCCTTTTCTAGACTGACAGATCCCATTCCCACCACAGAGACTTCCATTGCACCCCGCCAGAGGCCTAAAGCTGGGCAGACTCAGCCGAACCCAGGAATCCTTCCCATCCAGCCAGCCCTGACACCTCGAAAGAGAGCCACGGTTCAGCCCCCACCTCAGGCTGCTGGTCAGTTCTTAGGGTGGTTTCAAACTGGGTTACACCTCTTTGTTATCCTAGATAACAGAGAAGTCTTGGAAAGCCTGATTTTGCTTCAGGGATGGAATGCAGAGGCACATAAAGAATATGGTTTTTTACCCTGGCCAGCTGGCTCAGTTGGTTGGAGCATTGTCCTGTACACCCAAGGTTGTAGGTTTGATTCCTATTCAGGGCACACACCTAGGTTTTGGGTTTGATCCCCAGTTGGGGTGCATACTGGAGGCAGCCTATTGATGTTTCTTTCTTTCTTTTTTTCCCTTCATTATTGATTTTAGAGAGAGGAAATAAGAGAGAGAGAGAGAGCTAGAGAGAGAGAGAGAGAAACATCGATGAGAGAGAACATCGATTAGGCGCCTCCTGCATGCCCCTCACTGGGAATCAGGCCCATAACCTGGGCATGTTCCCTGACTGGGAATTGAACTGGCGACCTCTTGGTGCATGGGTCAGCGTTCAACCACTGAGCCACACCAGCTGGGCTCGATGTTTCTTTCTTTCTCGTTCTCTCTCTCTCCTTTCCCCTTTGTCTCTCTCTAAAAATCAATTAAAAAATATATTCTCAGGTGAGGATTAAAAAAAAAGAATAATAATGGTTTTCCTTGAGGAACAAGAGGTGACCTGCCATTGAAATTATATAGCAGGAGACTGGCAAAAGGGGAGACCTGTCATTGAATTCTTTAGGGAACCACCAAGACCACTGAAGCCTCTTATCTCTGTTTTTTTCTAGTCTTGGTCCTGATTTTGTGGCTTGGTCCATTCATCCCATATCTGCCTCTTTGTTTCATATACTTCTCTTTACCTCTAAAAACCAAAACACACTTTTTTTTGACACAGAGGAATTGTTTCTTCAATTCTGTCTCTTGAAGTATCTGTCTTCATTTCATGTTTTGTCACTCTCTTCTAAGGTAACTGAGTTCAGTTTCAGAAAAAGGATTGATCCAAATGATCAAGTAACTGAACTCAGCCATCACTTCTCTTATATGAAGCTGTTTTTGGTGAATTTGGTGTCCATATACTTATAAGGCATCTAGACTGGAATTATGTAACCTACATATAAAACATCAAAGAATACTTTTGTTCAGCAGCATGCCAACAATTGCAAAGATTGTGTTTATGTACAGTAGCATCAAAGGCAAATTGAATTTGTAAGTACTCAAGATGCTTACTAAAGGATAATGTACTAAATGGGATGGTGAATAAAGGAAGGCTTTCTGAAGGAGGCAAGTGTAGAAGCTTGCTATTGAACCTTGTTTTGAAAAATGTGAAGCTCATAGAGGTTAGCAAGAAAGAAGGACCTTCCAGGTGCACAGACAGTGAAAGCACATAGATTTTGGGATGATCTCTCCACTTATCACCCCCCGCTTCCTTTCTTTGGCAAGACGGGAAGTTGTTTTGGGAACAGTTTTGAGCCCTTACATGGAGTTTATTCTCATTGCAGGATCCAGCAATCAGCCTGGTCTTTTAGCCAATGTTTCCCAGCCAAAAACCCAGCCCTCACCCAGCCAACCTCTATCACAATCGCAGCCCAAGCAACCACAGGCTCCGCCCACCCCACAGCAGACACCTTCCACTCCAGCCCAGGGTCTGCCCACTCAGGCCCAGGCAACACCCCAGCACCAGCAGCAACTTTTCCTCAAGCAGCAACAACAGCAGCAGCAGCAGCAGCAGCAGCAACAGCCACCACCACCATCACAGCAACCAGCAGGCACATTTTACCAGCAGCAGCAGCAGACTCCGGCTCAGCAGGTAAGGTGGTCAGAGTCTGACCTTTGCTTTGCATATCCGAGTCATCACTGTGAAAAGGCCCACTAGGTACAGAAATCTGCCTTGGGAAGCCTTGGCAAGACAGCCTTTAATGATCACCACTGCTTCTTTCAGATGTAGATACTATAAAGCACTGAGTAGTGGAGCAATCACAGGATCATCTGCCCCTTTCACCTTTCTTCTCAGGCCACGGGAATTCTTCACCTGACAGGAGTCTCAGGAAGGGAGCTAATTTTTAAGGACTCTTTTTTTTCTCTCTTTCACATACCATTATCATACTGAAACAAAATAATAATTTCTTATCAAATATCCAAAAGTGTTTAGCCCTTTCTCATGTCTCATAATTAAAGTTGGCTTGTTTGAATCAGGATCCAAAGTCCCCAAATTGTAATTAGTTGTGATATATTTTTTATTACATTATCTTTTCTTTTTTTCCACATATTTGACTTTGAACATATTCATTTTATAATGATTAATGTATCTTTTATATTTTAAGTCCCCTTTTAACCACAGGTACCCTCTCTTCTTCCCCAGTCCCCTTTTGTCTTTTTTTTTTTTTTTTTTTTTTTTTTAAGAAACTGGGTCACTTGTCCTGTAGAATTTTCCACATTCAGAATTTGGCTGATGGCATCCCTATGGTGATGTTTAATATGTTTCTCCATCCCCTGTGTAAAGTGGTAATTTCCCGAGGCTTGCTCAATATTCCATTCAGTTTGATTGTTCTTTATTTTTCTGGTTATATCACATCAGGGGCATATAATTTCTGGTTGTCCTCTCTTTTAATAATATTAAGATTAATCAGTGGGTTTGGTGTTGTCCATCTGATCCATTCATTTGATGTTCCCCATCAGCTTAGCAGTCATTGCTGATCATTTTCTAAGTCCATTAATTCATTAAGGATGGCAAAATGGTGAATTCTAGCATTTTCTCTTTATTTAGAGACTGAAATTTATCTATGAAGAATTTTTTTCATCAACTATTTGATTACCCAGAGGTATTGTTTGTGCAGAAAAGGCAGGAAAAATATATAATTATTTTCCTGTTTTTACTAGTATTATCCAAAGGTGAACAGTGAGGTTTTTGTGTTAGTATCATTATGAACTTGTGGATCTTAACATATTTGATATGTTTCCATACATTGTAGTTTTTAAAATTTTGTTTATTTTGATGCTCAGATCATCCCAACTTTGTCCTGTGAAAGTCTCTTCAAATTGACTCCTGGGTCCTTCAGCTGCGACTCCAGTGATCTTTATGGTTTCCTTGCTATTCAGTGAAACAAGCTGTTCCAGGCTCATTCTGCCCTTAACCTGGAATCAGCCATTTCTCTAAGGAGCTTGTTTCCTGGAAATGGTCTTTAGAGACCCCAGCCTTGGTGCTAGGGTTACTCATTTGCTAATGGGTTGTTTTTAGACCTGTTCAGTGGACACTAGTTAGGAAATATATTTTGTTTTCTTAATAGAATATATGCCATGAATTCAAATTCACATTCCTAATTCAGATGTGTAAGTACAAGATTTTTGTTTAACTTCTTGGATTTTATATTTGTATTTTTCTAATCTGGAAATCTTGATTCCTAATAATATTAACATAATTACTTAATTGATTTATAGTTTCAAGATAACAATACCAATAGATTACTGAAAATAGTTTAAGATTTCTTTGATTTCTTTACCCTTAGAATTTTTAACACATTATTTTCTGGGGGTTTGGCTATTAATTTGACACATGGGTTTCTTTGCTTCATTTTGCTATTGATTTTTAGATTTTTGGTTTAATTTTGTGTTGTGAAAATGTAAAATATTTACATAGTTTCAAAGTTAAATCTGCAAAATTCTATTCCCTCCATCCCATATATAGAGGTAGTCCTCATTCCTATTTACAATCAGAGAGTGTTCCCTTTTAAGAATATATAGGATAGTTTATTCAATTAGTCCCCTGTTGATAGACATTTGGTTGTTTCCAGCATTTTACAGTTATAAATAGGCAGCTATTTACTGACATCTGCTTCTTTGCTAATCCTTTAACTTTGCCTCATTAGTCAAACAATATCCTCTCAGTTAGCTCTATAACGAAGTAACACTATTTAGGATGTTAAAAGACAAGATCTTAAATTTTGTTCATCAGTAGGCCCTTGTTTGAGCTCTATTTGTGTGCTTAACACATAGTCCTTAGTGAGGAGAAGAAAGACATAAAAGAAGTTTCCCTATTCTTAGGATGTTTACAAGAGAATATAACTTGACACAATTCATTACCAATATAAAATAAAATGTCATTAAGTATAGTAGTGTGAGTATTTTGAATGTTTAAGGATGGAGAGTTAATACAGATTGAGCTATTGGGAAATAATTTTCAGAAAGAGATAACTTTAATAGCTGGATTAACATTTAGGTTATTCTTTTCAATACTGTCATTGCTTCATCCTGTTTATCTAGGGAAGAATTTTAATATTGGCTACTTCCAGATCCCCTTGTAAGTGTAATTACTTCTGTGATTGGGAGATCATTTATTAGCTTCTGTTATACTCCCATCGTATGGAGTCACAATTATGTAGGGAGATGGACACCCTCAAGTGAGGCATAGAAACCCACCTGGGAGCCAGTCTGCAGTTCAGGAGGCAGCATAGTGCAGTGAATGGAGCCTTGCAGTGTAAGGTGCTGCTGTGCTTGTTTTAATGCCCTCGGGTTCCTCTCATGAGTTTCAGGCCAGGCTACAAGACTTCTGCTTTCCTTTGCCTTTGGCTTCAGCACTGATCTTAGCTGTTACTGAGACATTTGGAATGTCACTCTGAGATAGGCTTTTATTCACCTCCTCATTTCTTACCCCTTTCTTCTGCTCAGTTTCAGGCAGCACACCCAGCAACCCAGCAACCAGCAATTGCCCAGTTCCCAGTGGTGTCCCAAGGAAGCTGTCAACAACAGCAGCTGATGCAGAACTTCTACCAGCAGCAGCAGCAGCAGCAGCAGCAGCAGCAGCAGCAGCAGCTCACCACAGCCCTGCATCAACAACAGCTGCTGACTCAGCAGTCCGCCCTGCAGCAGAAGCCCGCTGTGGCAGCAGCACAGCAGCCCCAGGCACAGCCGGCTGTGGCCTCACAGCCGTCCCCTGCCCAGGAGCCAGCGGTAAGCATCAGCCAGGGCTCAGAGTGCAGAAGAAGAGGAGCATGCAGTGAGGGCTTGGGAAAGAGGCTGTACCAGCTGGCGTGGTGGCCTCTGGACTAGGGCTAGGCTGATTCCCTACCCTTGTGGTTAAAATATTTGATCTTTTTGCCCTGGCCGGTTTGGCTTAGCGGTTGGAGCGTCTGCCTGCAGTCCGGAGAGACCCGGGTTCGGTTCCCGCTAAGGGCATGTACCTCGGTTGCAGTTTGTCCCCGGCCCCTGGTTGGTCGTGCGGGTGGCAGCCACTCTATGTGTCCCTTTCACATCGATGTTTCCCTCTTTCTCCCTCCCACTCTATCTGTACAAAAAATGGAAAAATGTCCTCGGGTGAGGATAAAAAAAAATAAATAAATAAATAAATAAATAAAATATTTGATCTTTTCTTGATATATCCAAGAATGGGAAGAGTCATTTAATAGATGGTAAAAGTTTGAAAAAGATGACTCTAGGCTACTGATGAAGATGAACATTTAATTTTTTTAAAATGTTTTTATTGATTTTTTTTAGAGAGAGAGAGAGAAACATTAATGTGAGACAAACAGTGATTGGCTGCCTCCTGCACATCCTCTGCTTGGGATTAAGCCCTCAACCCAGGCATATACCCTGACCCGGAATCAAACCAGAACCTCTTGGTCCCTGGGATGACGCTCAGTAACACCGGCCAGACAAGATGAACATTTTAATTTATTTGAAATTAGGCTGGCAGAAAGAGCTGTTCATTCTCTGTTGCGTTAAGCAGTCAAGAACCTAGGTAGGATTAGAATTAGTTCCTTTCTTTTCTTCAATGGGCAGTTTGAGTACTGTGGCCTTTGCTGTCTTTGGAGATTTATGCAAGACCCCACATTTACCTTGAGTCCTGACAGTGTTGTGTTTATTCTTTGTCTTGGAAAACATTACTGGCCACCTCAATTAAGTGTACCCTGCAGCACCCTTCAAGGGGGCCTGCTTGCCTGGGACCATTTGCCATGGCCTTATCCCTCTGGACACCAGAATATCTAAGTATTGTTTGAGCCATCTTGTCAGTTTAGAAATTGGGCATGTCCACTTTTAGATAACGACTGAGTATATAGCATCAGAATCCCTAAGTCCTCTCCTAATTGACCTCTACTGTTTCAGCATCCTCTGTCACATTGTGCTTTGGCCTTCAATAAATGCCTTTAATTCTGCACTCACAGTTTTCAAGTGATAGTGATACATAATTTTATGGTGATAGAAAAAGACATTTTATATACCTAACCAATAGAGTATCATAGCTGCTCTCTTATTCTCCGGGAAGTCCAACTACTAGACAAACAAAGGAAAGGTAACAAACCATCTTTTTGAGGATTGATTTCTAATAGAATTTTGTCACCCATCTTAAACCAGAAAATCTACATTCTTTCCAAAGGAGGTAGTGCCATAAGTAGATTGTCTTCTTTAAGTCCCAGAAAAGTGTGTGTTCAGTGTCTTTACACCTTACTTCAGAAACCTGAGTTTCTGAAACAACTCAGGCTTCCTGCAGGCGTGAGGTAGATAGCTACTCTCCATCTTTTTTTTTTAAATCCTCCCCCAAGGATATTTTTCTGTTTATCTTCAGATAGAGCGGGAGGCTGAGAGAGAGAGAGAGAGAGAGAAACATCAATGCGAGAGAGAGACACACTTTGGTTGGTTACCTCCCATATGACCCCAACCAGGCCTGGGGACTGAACTGCAACCAAGGTACGTGCCCTTGACCAGAATCAAACCTGCAACTCTGGTCCACGGGCCAACGCTCTAACTGGCCAGTGCTACTCTCTGTCTTTGTAACAAGAGATGAAGTTCCTCTTAAGTGAAAAGTAGCTTTTAAAAAATTAATGTATGATATAGCTAGTTGAGATCTTAATTATCTAGTCCAGTTCCCTCATTTAATGGAATTGGAAACTGAGACCCAGCCTAGAAAGTCATTACCAAAGACACACAGACTGATAGCAGCAGAGCTGGGACAAGAACAGTCCTGATCTATGTTCAGGATGATAGTAATAACAGATGCTCTTCCAGGGGGATGAAATGATTATCTGCCACTGACCACACTTCTTATGAGGTTTTCTGCTTTCCCTGGACCAAAGTATGCACTCTCGTGGGAATGAATTATGAACCTTCTCCATGTTCCTTGGATGAAAAAATGCTTTGCTCAGTGGTAGTTGGTTATGGGGTTGGTGAGGGAATGGAAGCAGAGCATGCTTGTGCCAGGAACCAGAGAGCTTCCCAGCTTTGACCATCTCTTTCTCCAATGACCCTTGGTAGGCCTTACCTAGAGAAGCAAGTGAGTGAATCTTAAAGAAAAACGGCCGTGTGCCATAGATGTTTATGGCTGCCTAATTCAAGAACCCAACTGCAGCCGTTAAAAATCATGTTTGTGCCCTGGCCGGTATTGCTCAGTGTTTAGAGCACCGGCCTGTGGACCAGAGAGATCATCTGGCTTCGGTTCCCGCTAAGAGCGCGTGCCTTGGTGCCTTGGTTGCAGTTTGTCCCTGGTCTCAGTTGATGTTGTGTGGCTGGCAGCCAGTCAATGTGTCTCTCTCACATCGATGTGTCTCTCTCTCTCTCTCTTCCTCCCTCTTTCCCTTCCGCTCTATCTGAAATGCAAAAGTGTCCTTGGGTGAAGATAAAAAAAAAAATTATGGTTGTACCTGGCCAGTGTGGCTCAGTGGTTGAGTAGTGCCACTCATGCAAGAGGTCGCTGGTTCGATTCCCGGTCAGGACACATGTCCAGGTTGTAGGCCAAATCCCCAGTGTGGGGCATGCAGGAAGTGGCCAATCAGTGTCCTTTCTCATCGATGTTTCTCTCTCTCTCTCCCTCTCCCTTCCTCTCTCTCAAATCAATAAAGAAAAAAAAAGTACAACCAAAAATCATGGTTGTTGAGTGTACAACAGTATGAAAATGCTCATGAGATAATGTTAAAAGAGATGTGAAATTAGGGGAAGAGTATGTACTTGAAAAGAGACTTAAATATAAGATACCAAAAAGGTGAGAACAGTTGTAATTAGAGTGGTGGAATGGACCTGTGGGTGGTTTTTTCCCCCTCTTGTCTATATTCTTACATTTCTTGATGTGATTATAGTACTTTTGTAATTATGTATTTTGTTTTTCAAACAAAACTTTAGTAAAATGGACATCTGAGACTGCCTTGCTTCGCCTGTGGTCTGTGTCTTTCTCCTCCCTATTCCTAGTTCTATCTTTAGATGAGGAGGCATCATGATGCAGAAAAAAGAGTCCTGAATTACAGTCAAGAAAAATGGATTCTGTCCTCAATTGACCCCGTCACCTTGGGCAAGCACTTAGCTTCAGGGGACCTTGGTCTCTAAAGGGAGGGATTGGAATCTGTGTTCTCTAGGTCCCTTTCAAATCTCACATTTTTAGATTCTAAATGGAAAGAAAATTATCTGCCTGACAGGGTTGTTGTGAGGAGTAGTGAGCAGGTTGGAGCTGGTTTGTATGAGTAGATTGCTATGTTAGGGTAAGATGTCCTCGTGGAGGAAGCATCTGTTCCTCAGTATGCTGAATATAGGCTCCTCTTCGAGGTAAGAGGAGGGGAAATGTGATCCAGGAAGTCTGGACTCTTCAAACTAAGGGGACTCAATAGTTAAGTACCCTTTTCAGAGTAATGAATGGCAAACTCCAAGAAATAAGCAAATCTAGACTTGTCCTTAAATCTTTTCTGGTCCCTGTGGGTACTGGCTTTCGACTGGCTCTTGCAGCCCTGGACCCCTGAAGGAAGTTGTGAAGCTAGAGCTCTGGTCTTCTTCACAGAGCACTCCGCTTTTCCCTCAGAGGTGCAGTCAGCCTCTTGACCTTTAAACCATAGTCTGATTGATACTAGAACCTTATATTGTATCATTCAGCCTATTGGTGAAGTGACTGTACTTACACATGCATATAGTCTGTCTCAAAATTCAAAGTCTGAGTTATTGTCAGGACAGAAAATCTCAGGTTGTCAGCATCCTGGCCCAAGTAGCTGGACACTCTGGTATCCCTAACCTCTCTCAGGACCCACCCTTGAAAACACAGAATGTGGGGACTGAGCTACACATGGAGAGGCAGCATTAGTCACAGATGAGAGACTGGAGGCAAGGGGTAAATATCTGAGGCATTTAATGTTCTAGGTCATTTATCTCTGGATTGATAAAATTAAGGAAAATGTTAGATGGCCTTCTTAACATTATTTTTTGTTCATTTTCTTGATACAGAATTTTGTAGATTGTGCTTAAAGACTAACCATGTGGCCACAAGGCCTAACCATGTGGCCACAATGATATTCCCACCTGTTTGTTTTTCTGTGATGACAGTTTATTCTGCCTTCTGAAAAATGGCTCACATCTCGAGGGTTCTTGTGTTATTAGCTCAGTTATCATGAAGGGCATTTTTTTACATTTATTTTTTAAAAATTTATTTTTCAGTTACAGTTGACATTCACTAATCATCAAGGGCTTTTACATTTTGTTCTTCCTTCTTATTATATTCTCTATCTGGTTCTTTAATGCCATTTCCAAACTGATGGTTAGAACAGGTTAATTCTGCTGCCCTAGTGCTGTGTATTTCTTCAGGGGTTGCCACTGACAGAATCTTGTAGACCCATCCTATCAATGAAATAAAGCGTTAACAACAAAACAAAAAAAGCACTGCCTTTTATTAATCACAGTAGAGTTCTACCTAATTTATTCCTAACTGGTAGTCTGAGAGTCTGCTTTCTCTTAGCGTAAATCATTCAGCTTAAATGTATTTTAGCTGAAGGTTTGGCTTCCTTGGCTTCTGACTGTGGTTGTAGAATACTCAAGCCTGCCATTTGGAGACATTCTGAACAAGTTCTTACAGGATCCAGAGGCAGAAAGTGATCCTCTAGGATAGGTTCTAGATCTTTAGCCCTAGGAATAGCTTCTGTAGTCTATGCTCTGGGCTAAATTGCATATGGTTATCCTGTATATTGCTGCTGATGAAGGTTGAAATTTATGTATAAGTACCAGATAAATACTGTGTTGGTATCAGTCTCAAAGTTGCAGTTCAGGTTGTCAAAGCCTAGTTTTTATTTCTTTCTAGGTATTATTGATAAATTTAGGCATTTGAGTTCTGTGATAGCTGTCATGTGGCATTTTTGGTTATGCTTATCAGTTTATCTTTCCTTTGTTTTTGAACATTTTTAAAAATCTCTTTTCCTAGCAGATTCAAGCCCCAGTAAGACAACAGCCAACGGTTCAGACAACCCCACCTCCTGCTGTCCAGGGACAGAAACTTGGATCTCTTACTCCTCCATCATCCCCGAAGACCCAACGTGCTGGACACAGGCGGATTCTCAGTGATGTAACCCACAGTGCAGTGTTTGGGGTCCCTGCCAGCAGATCAACCCAGCTGCTCCAAGCAGCTGCAGCTGAGGCCAGTCTGAATAAGTCCAAGTATGTGCTGCTTCTCCTTTATTCTCCTTAGTTTGTGGGCAAGGTCTGTTGTGGGCTGTTACTGTGTGATTCTTTGCATATGTATGTGTGTAGATGTATATACAGTTGTGTGCATCTGTGTTTAATAAGAAACTGAATTTGCCTGTGGTGCATAAACCATACTGATCTTAAGAAATAATTTCCTACTTGCCTCATTGTTTCCATTCTCTCATCTATTTCATGCTTTACAGAGTATTTTTTAAACTCTTTTTTTTTTTTTTTAATTTTATTTTTTATTTATTTATTTATTTTTATCCTCACCCGAGGATATTCTTCCATTTTTTGTACAGATAGAGTGGGAGGGAGAGAGAGAGAAACATCGACGTGAAGGGACACATTGAGTGGCTGTCACCCACACAACCAACCAGGGCCGGGGACAAACTGCAACCGAAGTACGTGCCCTTAGTGGGAACCGAACCCGGGTCTCTCCAGACCGCAGGCCGACGCCCTAACCGCTGAGCCAAACTGGCCAGGGCATATTTTTTAAACTCTTGATCTGGCCAAGTTTTCATGTTGAAAATCTTTCGTTGGCTCCCCTTTTCTCCCCATAAGTTCTGAACTCATTGGTTAACAGACTAAGGCCTGTCACATTGGTGGACTTGTCATTCTCTATCTTCATGAGCGCTTTGTTCATCCTATGCCCTCTCCCTTAACTGCACTGTCCTCCTTGTCTACCAAGGAAATGCTTGTTTAGTCATCAAGATCCGTGTCAGAAGTTACATTTTCTTTGACCCTTCCCCTAGTGTCATTTATAATTTTGTTGTGCATGCATCACATTGTATTATCACTATTTATTTATGTGCCTATATGAGTATGTCTAACTGACCTAGGCTGAGAGTTCCTCCAAGACAAAGATTATGTCTTAATCAACCTTTGTAAATCCAGTAACTGGCACTGGGCCCAATATCAAGTAGGTTGCAATGAGTGTCTGTGGAGTAAATGCAGTTTCAGGCCCTGCGCATTCTTGGAACCATGTACTCTAAAGTTAAAAATCTTGAATTCATTAGCCAAATGCCAAAGGCTTCAAGAAAGACTTAGAATAAAATTAGGTAATGATACATAAAAGCACAGGATAGTGGTAACTGTCTTTTTTTTTTTCTTCTTTTTTATCCTCACCCGAGGACATTTTTCTATTTTTTTGTTCAGATAGAGTGGGAGGGAGAGAGAGGAAGAGAGAGAGAAACATCGATGTGAAAGGGACACATCGAGTGGCCGCCACCCACACGACCCAACCAGGGCTGGGGACAAACTGCAACCGAGATACGTGCCCTTAGCGGGAACCAAACCTGGGTCCCTCTGGACCGCAGGCCGATGCTCTAATAGCTGAGCCAAACTGGCCAGGGCCATAGTGGTAACTGATTTTATTTCTCTTTAGCTGTGGTGGTAGCCACTGATGTTGGCTCTTAGTTCTTTGCATGTTATATCTGACAGATGGGAGGCAGCTTGAACAGACATCAGTCCCAGCCCTCCGGGGTCTGTTATTGTGGGTTACATTGGGCTCCAGTAAGATGCACAAGCCTAAGAATAGGTTGCTTTGGGATCTTGAAGTGAAAGGATTTGCAGACAAGACCAAAAATCTAAGCAAGAGATTAAAGAAGTAGTGGAAGACAGTGAATCATGAAGGAAATGAAGACATTTATTTTACACAGTGGAAAGGGGTCTGTCCAATTGTCGTAGAAAGCCCTTTTAGAAAACCACTGTGAAGAATCATGGTTTGACTCAGAAAAGAATTTGATCTTGAAACAGAGAAAGTAGGTTGAAGCTTTTCAACTTTTATATGTCTTTTTATTTCGTGGGGGTGGGAACCTATCTAGGTCTGCAACCACCACTCCATCAGGCTCTCCTCGGACCTCCCAGCAAAACGTTTATAATCCTTCAGAAGGTTCTACATGGAATCCCTTTGATGATGACAATTTCTCCAAACTTACAGCTGAAGAACTGCTGAACAAGGACTTTGCCAAGCTAGGGGAAGGTGAGTAATTGGTGTCTTTGTGATTCTTGAACCTTAACTCTAGAGGGGTATTATGTATGTGAACATGTAGGCTTGGGTCCCTCAAATGTTTGATTAAAAAAATATTTTTTTAATTCAAGTATAGTTGGTATACAGTCTTGTATTGGTTATATCAGTTTTAGGTGTACAATATAGTGGTTTGACATTTTTTAAACCTTACAGTATGATTTTGAAATATGAGTACAAATTAATTTGTATTTTTACCAGAGCACTGAAGTCTTCAACCTCAGGAAATCATGGTCTGTTGGAGGTGGTGGAAACAAGAAGGAAAACTTTTAGGAAAGACTAGGTAGCATAGATCGGGATGAGAGGATCATACAAGGTCACTTCTTGTAGGAGTGTGATGGTTCCCTTGTCCTAAGTGGGTTTATTGTCCCAGAAGATTATAACTGCCTACCCATGAGAGTGTGTTCTCACAGAGAAATGGAATCTTTGATTATGATCAGTATATTACTGTTGAGGAGATCAAGTAAAAAGAAGGTGTCATTTCTACCTGCAAACCCACAGTCTAATTTGGGAGGGAATACACACATACACACTTTGGAAAACAACAGCACAAACTCTAGGAAAATTCTACAATATGATACAGTTCAGAAGAGTGTCTCAGTGTAGACAAGAACACAGGGTAAAGAATGATCAGAATTTTAGCTTTAACTATTATTTTATAGATATATTTTAAAAATTCATATTGCTTTCTTGCCTTTTCAAACAGAAAATAGGGTGGAGGATTTAACTTTCTTTGATGACTCATTGTTATGTGTGCCAGTTACTGTTCTAGACTATAAAAGAAATACCTTTAGGACTATTGAAAACTGGAGTATTTTTGCACTCACTTAAGTGACCTGGCCAGGTTTTTAAAATTCTTATGTCTATTTTTTATAATTTCCTACCTCTGTGGTTCAGCTGTTGGCTTTCACATTAAGCTACTATCATTGTGCCTGTCCCTCACAGCCTCTCACTACTGCCATCTCCACCTCTTCTCATTTGCTTTCCTAAACTGTTTCCAACATGGAAGACAGATCATCAAATTCATTATAATTGTATAAAAATAAATAGAGTGAGTGAGGACTGGAAGCATTCTGCTGTGAGTAATGTGCTCAGCTTTGGGGCTTTGGCTCTAGGTGTCTCTTTGCTGTTATTTATTTATTTATTTTTAATTGTGATAAAATATGTATAACGGAAATTTATACCTTAACCCTTTTCTAAGTGTACATGTCAGTCGTGTTTGTTATGTTTGCATGTGGTGCCGCCAATATTCAGAACTCTTTTTCTCTTGCAAAACTGGTGTGCTCTCTCTTTTGATTCTTAAAATGTCCTTCCATTTGTCAGCGGTTCTCTCAGCTATTGCAATGACTACACAAGGATCTCTGAATGACTGAGATGTCACTATAGTGCACTAAAAAAGAGTCAGTCTAGAAGTCAGTTCAGAGAGTGCCCTGAGGATGCACCATGGGATTCTGCTGGAGTGAACTGAGTGGTCTTTTGTCCCTCCAGGCAAACATCCTGAGAAGCTTGGAGGCTCAGCTGAGAGTTTGATCCCAGGTTTTCAGCCGACCCAAAGTGATGCTTTTACCACTTCTTCGTTTTCTGCTGGAACCGGTTAGTATGGCAAACAGCTGAAACACAAACTCAGTTATCATCTTCACACTGTTTTCCATTTCACAGATAACTCTAGCATGCCGGTAAGCCACAGATCCTGGTGGTAACTTTTATTTTCCTTTATTCAAAAGATTTCCAATAGAAATGATAGGGATAAAGAAAGATCTAGAATCACTTACAATTAAAATGACAGCATGATCTGGCAGTAATATACAGGATTTGTTCTGTCTAGTCCATGGACATGTTTTAAGCAAATATTTCTAAATTTGAGGAACAGCATACTGTCAATATCTTGTAATTGCTTAGGTTCTTTGGAATAGCTTAAAAAGTTCTAAGAATTAGATGTTCTATCTGAATCTCTGCTAAGCTGTGTGTGTATGTGTGTCCCCATGCTTCCAGGGAGAAGAGGTATCTATTTATTTATTTATTGTTTTAAATCCTCACTTGAGGATATTTTTTTCCCCATTTATCTTCAGATAGAGTGGGAGGTAGGGAAGGAGAAGAGAGAGAGAGGACAAGAGAGAGAGACACACACACACAGAGACATTGATGTGAGAGACACATAGACTGGTTGCCTCCTGCCGACCCTGACCAGGGCCAGGGACTGAACCACAACCGAGGTCCGTGCCATTGACCAGTATGGGACTCTGGTCTGTGGGCTGATGCTATAACCACTGAGCCAGACCAGCCAGGGTAAGAGGTATCTTTTTTTTTCTTTTTCTTTTTTTCAAATCTTTATTGTTGGATGTAAAATGTATTACAGATGTTCCACATTTTTCCCCCATTGACCCCCTCCTCCCCAATCCTGCCCCCCTCCCACCTTTTCCCACACTATTGTCTGTGTCCATTGGTTATGCATATAAGTTCTTTGGTTTATTTCTTCCCACCCCCCCAACCCCTTTCCCTTTGAGGTTTGTCAGTCTAGCAATGAATTTGTGCTTCTTTTTTTTTTTTTATCATCCTCACCCGAGGACATTTTTCCATTCTTTGTTCAGATAGAGTGGGAGGGAGAGAGAGGAACAGAGAGAGAGAGAAACATCGATGTGAAAGGGACACATCGATGGTCGCCACCCGCACAACCAACCAGGGCCGGGGACAAACTGCAACCAAGGTACATGCCCTTAGCGGGAACCGAACCCGAGTCTCTCCGGACTGCAGGCTGATGCTCTAACCGCTGAGCCAAACCGGCCAGGGCAATTTGTGCTTCTTAATCCCTTTAAGGAGGTATCTTTTTAAATGAGATTCTTTTAAAGTTATGGAGGCAGTAATAAAAAATGAATTTTCTTCTTTTTAGTAAAAAGTATACTTTTTATATAAAAATAATTTATAGAAAAGAATAGAGAAGAAAGTTAAAATCCCCATAATCTCACCACTGAGAAGTTAGCACATGGATATTATTCTGATGTCTGTTAGTGGCATTTAACCTTTTTAGGATCACAGACAGATAACTTTGTGAATCTAATGGAACTTATAGATCTCCTTCCTGAAAATACAAGTGACCTTAATTTTATACAGTTTTAGACCTCAGCTTAAAACTCTAATGTACATCTTTATAGTCATATTTTATTTCACTTAATAAATCTGGCATGTTTCCCTCATTATTAAAGAAGCTTCTAAAATATAACTTTAAAAATACCTATATTTTGCTTTCTTTAAGTGTGTTACTAGTTTTTCTAGTCTCATAAATTTATTTCTGATTGGAACTTTGGCTGTCATTTTATATTATTTGATATATAGTGCTCTCTTATTCTTTTTATGGGTGTTTTTAAACTGCAGTTTTGATTTCTTCTCTACCCAAGAGTTACTTTGCATATATTGTAATTGCGTTGTGTTAAGATGGCCTGTGCAGTTTTTGTTTTGTTTTGGGTATTATTAAGGGGTTTTCTGTCATCCAGTTTGCCCTTCATTTTATAAACATTCCATGTCAATAAATACTAATCTACATGATTCTTAATAGAAGAATATTTAATATTTCCTTTGATGAATATTTAGGCTATCATTAACTTTTCACCATGTAAACATTTTGAAGCTAACTTTTTGTTTATATTCTTTACAATTTCTTTAAGATACATTCTAGGAGATTATGTGCTAAATCAAAACATTATATTTTAAGGCTTTTGGTACATTTTTCCTTCCACTTCCTTACCCAGCTCAGCTCAGAGATTGTAGGCAGAGGAAGGTGTTTACTGGTCATTTTTATTTATTTTGGGATTTGTTCATGTCCTTTGCATTTTTAAAATGTTCTTAGTTCATTTTGTTTTTATTAATTAGTAGGAGCTCATCATATATCATATATTGTAAACATTTTCTCCAGTTTGTCATTTGTCCTATAAGAATGTTATGTCATCTGACCCTCTCAACAACCCTTTGAGGTTGGTATATTGTCCCCTCATCAGTTTGAGTTGTGGTAAATGAACACAGTCTAATCTATTTTCCAGGATCACATAACTAGTAAGTGGCAGAGCTGGGATACCAAGACTTGGCTCCAGAACTTCCTTTCTTGGGTTTTCTGCCAATTATTGAGGCAGATTTAATAATATTTTCGTAGAAAATTATCTGCAGTTTTAAACATTGATCAGCTGTCTCCTGCATGCCCTCACTGGGGATTTGACCCATAACCTGGGCATGTGCCCTGACTGGGAACTGAACCAGTGACCTCCTGGTGCATGGGTCAACACTCAACCACTGAGCCACACCTGTCAGGCTGTCTTCTAAGTTTTTAACTTTTGTTTTTATCTTCTTGACTACAGTTCTCTATTTTTCTTAGGTTTGCTTTGTTGATATCAAGAGGAACACACAGTAAAAAATTTTTTAATTCTTTTAAAAAAATGAGTCCAGCTGGTGTGGCTCAGTGATTAATCGTCGACCCATGCACCAAGAGCTCACCGGTTCAATTCCGGGTCAGGACACATGCCCAGGTTGTGGGCCCAATCCCCAGTGGTGGGCATGCAGGAGGTGGCCAGTTGATGTTCTCTCTCATCGATGTTTCTGTCTCTCTCTCCCTCTCACTTCCTGTCTCTCTGAAATCAATAAAGGAAAAATAAAAAATAAAAAAAATAATGAAAGTATTTAGAATTTTTCTCCCAATGGTACAGTGATTTTCAATTGGCATGAGAGTTAATTATAATCTCAGGAATAAATGTTTCACATATATTCCAATATTGTCTTTTATCCTGCTCCCTCCATTTGCCCACACCACCCCAACCTTTGAGGGTTATGCTGTCTATTGAGATTGCTTTCTAATAGGTGTGTATTTTTCTCATAAGAAAAAGCTGAAATTTTAATTCTATCCCTTAAGTCTTCATATGATCTCACTGTTATTATTTTGGAATAAGCATTGGAGTTATTTGGGAGGTATGCTTTTTAAAATTAAATAATTAATTTTTTTGTGTGTTATTTTTCATTTTTAGCTTTTTTTGTTTGGTTTATATAATTTTTAAATTTATTGATATTTTGTTCTGGTTTAAAGTGCTTCAAGTTTGATATGCCAAATAGTTGACTAAATGTACCAAATGTATAAAGCATTGACCGTTGACCTTGAGTTAGAGCATCACAATGATGACCAACTATGGTTCTGGGTAGGATGTAGTTTCTAGGAAAAGGATCATAGAATAAACTCTAGAAGAGACTTCTTTACTGCTAAATCCCAGCATTTAGTACGGTGTTTGGTTCAGCACAGATTTGTTGAATGAATGAAAAGGGTTGTTTTTTGCCAAAGGATAGGAGCATAGATTCCCCCATTGTTAATGACGGAGGTCCCCAATCATTTTTCGTCTACTCCCAACCAGTTTTTCTGCCTACCTCTTTCTTACTTATCACACATGGTTATGCTTTGTTGTTTATTTATCTGTATCAACACTTTTTAAAAGTTGTGTTTTGTTTTTGCTTTTGCCTCTTCTTCCCCTTTATGTTTACTTTGGAGTCTGTAAATTGCATTAGGTTTTTTTAAGGGACTTAAAGGCCCAGCCATAAAAACACATATTTGAATAAAGTTGTAACAATAATACAGCAAGCATACACTGAGTACATACTATATGCTAAGCCCACTAGATAAGTGATTTTTTGCGCATCATCACAGGTGATCCTCACAACAGCTCACAAGAGGTTAAGTGAGCTTTCCAAAGCCACGGTTGCAGAATGATAGAATAGAGATTTATGCCAGGGCAGCCCAGTTTAGAAGCTGTGGTAATAACCACATCTCAGGAATCTTGTAAATCAGTGACACTAAGCTTTGCCAACCATTCTGAAACTTCTTCATATTTTCCTCATTTTATTCAGACCTTTTTATGAACATTTGGTATTTTTCCCTTCTTTCTTGTTTGTGGAGTGATTTTTTTAAAAAAAATGTGACACCTTCTTTACAAATGAAAGAAAATTATATCTGAATTCTAGAAATTGATGTGTCTTCATTTGTGTGAAGTATAGGATAGTACCATTTCCTACAAGTTTTCTAATCAAGCTCAAACTCTTCCCTGATTTTAAACCTTCTGACTGACCAAGGGAGGAAATGATCAGGAAGTTTGGTAATGAGTTGGGGAGGGTGCACAAAGATTGTTTTAAATATTTTAATGGTAAAAGCTGTAAAAATATTGATCAACTGTGTCTATACATCAGAGACAGACATTTAAAAGTTGACATTGTGCCTCTTTATTTAAAATATTTTTTTGTTGCTAAGTTATTATATACATTAATTTGTGAAATTTTGGAAAAATGACTTAAGAGCCTAAAGAAGCAGGATAAAAGAACTTGTAATCCCGGTATGAGAGGAAAGCATTGCTGACACTTTATAGTATTTGTGTCCAAAATTTTATTTTTGCATATATCCATTTTTTTTTTTTTTTTATCCTCACCTGAGGACATTTTTCTATTTTTTGTTCAGGTAGAGTGGGAGGGAGAGAGATGAACAGAGAGAGAGAGAGAAACATCGATGTGAAAGGAACACATCGAGTGGCTGCCACCCGCACGACCGACCAGGGCCGGGGACAAACTGCAACCGAGGTACGTGCCCTTAGCGGGAACCGAACCCGGGTCTCTCCGGACCGCAAGCCGACGCTCTAACCGCTGAGCCAAACCGGCCAGGGCTGCATATATCCATTTTTAAAAAATGAATTATACTATACATTTAGTTTTATAATTTGTTCGCTTTTTAAAATATATTTCGTTGTGTCTTGTTTAAAAATATTGCAGAGACTTAAGGGCAGTGATTTTACCTTTCTCTTCCTTCATCTGCCTTTAAAGAAGCTTAGTACAAAACCCACTTTAATAACATTCTCTAAATGACAGAGTTACAGAGATTGAGATCAAATTCATGGATTCCAAGGGATAGGGACAGAGTAAGGAGTGGGTATGACTCTAAAGCAGTGGTTCTTACTCTTCCTAGTGGCGCAACCCTTTTAATATAGCGCCTCATGTTGTATGTGGATGTGGGCGTATCTGCATGTGGGTGGACCCTCCTGGAGATGGATAGAGGAGCAGTGTCTCAGTTCCTAAGACCATCAGAAATATGTTTTCCGATGGTCTTAGGTGACCCCTGTGAAAGGGTTGTTCGACGCCCAAAGGGGTCGCAACCCACAGGTTGGGAACCGTGCTCTCTCGTTTGATAGAATGGTTCTGTATTGTGTTGGTGCTTATGCTAGTCTGTACGTAGGATCCAATTGCAAGGAACTGTATATACACACAGACAAATGAGTGCATGAGAAAGCAGATTAAAGTCTAGTTAACAGTAATATGCCAGTGTCAATGCTACTGTACTACTGTACTCCATGGAAGGAAGTTGTTTGAAGGGTTCATAGGATTCAATGTATAGCAACTTCCTATGATTCCATAATTATTTGAAAATAAAAAATTTTTTAAAAATGTACTTTATAGAAGGCAAAATGAGATTTCAGTTAATGAACAAACTGAATAGTAAAATGCATTGTAGAAATTGGTAAAGTTGAAACAAGGAGACCTGGGTTCTGATCCTTGATCTGCTGGTGGACCTCTGGCTAATCTCTTAACTTCTGGGATTTATTTTCTTTTCTGAAAAATGAGAAAATTATGCTGGAAAATCTTAAGATTCCTTCAAACTCTGATATCCCATAGGGTACATAGATTTTTGTAAATATATCTTTGCCAAATATAGAATGAATGCCAATAGTATGTTATGTGTAATCCTGAGGTTGGGGTTGTCTAACCTTGAAGAAGGCAAGAAATCTATTTCTGTCTCTTCCTGTTTGTCTGCCTAGCAGTATATTAGACATTTGGTAATATAACAACCTCGAGAGGGTAACGGGTACACAGGAAGTACCTATACATATGCTAGATTACAAGATAGACAATATTTATTTATGTGCTAAAATGTGCAACATAGACAGTAATTGCTATAGGAATTCTGAAAGAGATCACTGTGGGCTTCCACCTTAGGAAGAAGTGGAATTTCAGATGTATGAAATTCTACTTTTATCATTAATTGTACCTTAGAGTATATCGCAAGGACCAGATTATATATCTCATACATATGTTGCTGTTACACTATATTACATTTACTCATCCCTCTTTATTCTACCTCTAAGTTTAGACTTGTTCTCTAATTTGAGCTGTTGGGTTAATAGATGGTAAATTCATCTAGATTTACTTGATATTTTCTGCTTTTCTCTTTTTTTCTCTCCTTGACCCCTCCTTTCCCTCCAATCAGCTCCAGCTGAAAAAAGGAAGGGTGGGCAGACTGTGGATTCTAACCTCCCACTTCTAAGCGTATCTGATCCTTTCATTCCTCTTCAAGTACCTGATGCACCAGGTAGGTAAATAGAATTGATCTGATGTTAACCGGCTTGATTCCTATGTCCCAGAGCTTCTTGAGAATTGTTTTAAACACTCCATGAAAAGGATTTGAATTCCATGTTAGTCCAATAATGATTATAACAATATGGGGGTGGGGGAACTATAAACATATGCTAGAAGGAATGAAATGTGAATAGTGGTTATAGTATGATAATTAGAAATGGGTGAGTTCCTATCCAGTTTCTGTTTTCCTGTAATATACTTTTATTTTATAATATAAAAATGCATAATAAAAGTTTATAGGAAATGTGTCAGGAGACTTGGGTTCCCTTCCTGGCTCTTCCACTACCTGAAAACCTTGTGGGCTTAACTCTTCATCAGTGGAGAAAAATGCACTGCATGAATTCGAATATCCCTTTAAGTCATCATATCCTGATTTTTAAGTGAGCAGTCCAAAAAATTAAGAAATGGTTAGTGTGTTCGGATTGAAACAGCTTTTGAAACATAATTTGCAGTTTCTGAATGCCAAAGATTTCTTTTCCTGCTTTCCTCCTCATCCTTTTGTGGGGTGGGGGGAGGAGGAGCGTGATGTGAGGAACAGAAGCTGCTTTTTCTCATCTCTATCAGTGTCTGTGAAAAAGCAAATAGATCCAGCTTCTTAGAAGCATCTGGTGGTCATTTTGCTTCTGATTGTTTTCCTTTTCTCCCATTTTTACCACTGCTGATTCTTGGTCTTGACCTGATAGGATCTGCATGGTTTTTCTTTTTTCCTAAAATGTTAAAGGTATTTGATTGATTGCCTCAAGATTAGAAGTGATTGTGATAATTTATACCCTCTTCCTACTAAGACAGACAATAGCTATGGTACCAAGACAGTTTTTATTTCTTTAAACAGTTTGTTGACCCTTCTAAAGAGGAAGCAAAAACTTGCCTTGATCAGGTAGTATCATGTAACGTTATAGCTTGCCAGACCTGGATGTAGGTCAAAAATACCTAAAACCACCAAGGAATGATTCAGTAAAGGGTAGTTAAAGAAAAGAGAAGAAAGGAATCAAATCTCTTAGTGCCTAGACAAGTCAGTTTCAAGTAGAAGGCTGGAGAGGAATGGGCTACAAACTCAAGCTGGGTCCCACTGACCCCCTTCTTTGTTGTGGCAGTCATGGGGTCAGACAAGAAAAAGGGGTTATTGAGGTATTCTTTCTTCAGGTTCTTGCATTGTTCTTACCTAGATAGTACATGGGTTGTAGAAGCTGGAAAGGTGGCCTCTTGGCACAGGTCAGGGGATGAAGGCCCACAAGCAAGTAGCTATCCTCTGCAGCTGTCACGGGGCTCTCAGGATTGAGGGTCAGGGGCCAGGCACATGTAGCAGGTGGCTCAGGATGTCAACTCCAGGTTGTAGAGATAAATTTTGAAGGGGTGTGGAGATTAGCCTAAGGGCCACTAGAGCCAGCTGGCTGCCATCCTTACTTTCCTTATTGTTAACTTTCCTGTTTCCTAATCCTCCATATTTCTTTCATTCTGGTGGATTCCTGCCAAAGTGTTACTGGTATGTACTTTAATACCAATTGAGCCATGACCCCCTCTGAGTTTTAATGGAAAATCTACTAAAATGGAACATTCTAATAGAGAATTCCAGGAGTGTCTTATTTGTTTTCTGATCTGTCAGACCAGACTCGTGTGTTGAAACAAAGCAGACATCACTGTTTTACGCACCAGTAAATTCCCATACCACTGAGCGTAAAATCCAGACTGGTTACCATGACCTAAAAGGCCTTAACTAATCTGGCCCTTGGCTACTCCTCTTACCTGAGCTCATAGCATTCTTCCCCGGTCTTTACTTTAATAGGCTAAGCTTGTTCCCACCTCAGGACCTTTGCACTTGCTGGTACTCTACCTGGAAAGCCTTTCCTCCAACTCTGTTTCTTCTTGTCATATGACATTTAGGTCTCAGCTTAAATACTCTCTTCTCAGAAAGGTGCAACGTGGTCCCACAGGTGCTCTCAGCCATACCCCCTGGCTTTTTTTTCATAGTATTTATCATGACATTGTCTGTTTTTATTTGTTCATTGTCTGACTTTCTTCACCAAAATGTCAGTGTCCTAAGGGAAGACCTTGCTGTCTTTATTCATCATTATAATGTCGGTGCTGAGAACACTGCCAGGGAGAGTCAGTGTAAAAAAATCACATCTATGAGCATCTGTGTGCTCACAAGGCTGCCAAATGAAGCCTAGCTCTAGTGACTGTCAGAGTATTTCATTGATGCTCAAATGCTGTGTGTTCATTTATTTTGCTTTCTGTTTGCATTAGGGAATAGATAGGTTAGAGATGGTACCAAAGTTTTGAAATATTGTAGAAAGGATTGAAGAATTTTCTCTGAAAATTGGTAGAAGATTAGATCATTTATTTTTTAAATTGTGATAAAATGTGCATACTACAAAATTTACCATTTTAAAGTGGACAGTTCAGCCCTGGCTGGTTTGGCTCGGCGGTTAGAGTGTCGACCGTGGACCAGAGAGTCCCAGGTTCAGTTCCCACTAAGGGCACGCACCTCTGTTGCATTTTGTCCCCAGACCCAGTTGGGGTTGTGTGGGTGACAGCCAGTCAATGTGTCTCTCTCACATTGATGTTTCTTTCTCTCTCTTCCTCCCTCTCTTCCTCCCGCTCTATCTGAAGATAAATGCAAAAGTGTCCTCAGGTGAGGATTAAAAAAATAAATAAATAAAGTGGACAGTTCAGTGACATTAAGTACATTCACATTGTTTTGCTACCATCACCACCATCCATCCACAGAATGAATGTTTTCTCATCTTGTAAAACTGAAACTATACTTATGAAATAATAACTCTGTTTTTCCCTCCCTCCAGACCTGAGCAACCATCATTCTACTTTATGTCTCTGTGAATTTGACAATTCTACGTACCTCATATAAGTGGAATCATATATTATTTGTCTTTTTGTGACTGGCTCATTTCATTTAACATAATGTTCTCAAGGCTCATCTATATTATTGTATATGTCAGAATTTCCTTTCTTCTTAAGGCTGAATAATATTCCATTATATGTATATATTACATTTTGTTTATCTGTTCATCTGTCTGTGGACACTTGCATTGCTTCCATCTTTTGGCTGTTGTTCATGCTTCATTGAACATAGGTGCAAATATCTTTTCAAGACCCAAGATTCTTTGGGGGCGTATACCCAGAAATGAAATTACTAGACCCTATGATAATTCTGTTTTTAATTTTTGAGAAACCACCTTTCTGTTTTCCATGGAGACTACACCTTTTCTCATTTCCACCAGCAATGCACAAGAGTTTGAGATTTTTATAGCAACTCCTTAATGCTGATCTCTCTCTCTTTTTTAAGATTTTTAAATCTTTATTGTTGAATGCATTACAGATGTTCCTCATTTTTCCCCCATTGACCCCTTCCTCCCCACTCCCCCCCCCCCCCCCTTTTCCCACACTGTTGTCTGTGTCCATTGGTTATGCATATAAGTTCTTTGGTTTATTTCTTCCCACCCCACAACCCCTTTCCCTTTGAGGTTTGTCAGTCTATAATGCTGATCTCTTAACATCATGTTCCACAAGACTAAACAAGAATGCATCATTCTTAATGATGTTCCATAAGTGCCTCTTCCTAGAATTAAATTTTTTTTAAAGTGTCTCTTAGTTTATGGCACTTCATCATCTCTTAAAAAGTAGGCAAGAGGAACTGTTTTTTAATTAATTTATTTTTAATATATTTTTTTCTTTATTGATTTTAGAGTGAGAAGGAGGGGGAGGGAGAGAGAGATAGAAACATCAATGCAAGAGAACATCGATTGGCTGCCTCCTGCATGCCCCCCACTGGTGATCAAGCCCACAACCTGGGCATGTGTCCTGACTGGAAATCGATCTGGCAACTTCTTGGTGCATGGGTTGACGCTCAGCCACTGAGCCACACCGGCCAGACAGAGGAACTGTTTTTTTAGTGGGTTGTTGTCCAGATAGACATTCTTCTCAGAGCTATTTGCCTGGCATTTTCCTCCCTTCTAGGTTCTGTCTTGAGATACTAAAAAGTCCAAGGTTGACCATAGTATGTATCTTTATTCTGTAAAGTTTATCTTTCTGCAAATTCAGTTCTCTAAAATGAACTTGGAATGGGGCATGGTTGTTGACTTTTGCTTCTAACTTGTAGCTGTTACAGATTTTAGTGTCTGGTTTCTCAGTGATAAGAACTATTTAGAGTGACTAGATGTTAAAAAGAGCATCTCTTATAACAAGACTTCAGGACTGACACCCAAGTTAGAGAAGATGTAAATTTCCAAAGCCACTAAGGCATAGCAGCCAAATCATTCTTTTTGATGAGGATTGCATCAAGCCCTTCCGTGTTGGTTATTTCAACCTGCTTCCTTCCTCGTGGCTGTATTCCTCATTAGGTTTGGAATGGGCTTTGAGCAAGCCCTTAGTCTTATTAGCCTATATAATAAACAGATATACTTATTCTCTCTTTTGATATATTTTTAAATTTTATTTATTGATTTGAGAGAGAGGAATATCAATTTGATGTTCCATTTATTTATGCATTCATTGGTTGTTTCTTTCTCTTTATTTATTTTTTTAACCCTCACCCTAGGATATTTTTCTGTTTATCATCAGATAGAATGGGAGGGAGAAAGAGAAACATTGTTGTGAGAGAGACACAAAGATTGGTTGCCTCCCACACTACCTGACCAGGGCTGGAGATGAACCGCAACCAAGGTATGTGCCCTTGACTGGAATTGAACTCAAGACTCATTGGTCTGCAGGTCGATGCTGCAACTGCTGAGCTTTCCAGCCAGGGCTCATTGGTTGTTTCTTGTATGTCCCCTGACTAAGTTTGAACCCACAACCCTAGCATATTGGGGTGGCACTCTAACTAACTGCGCTACCAGCCAGGGCTTCCTTTGAGATTTTAAAAGGGAGAAAATTTACAACTTGTAGCACATCCCATGCCAGGAAATGGTTTTGACTATCTAAGCTTAGACTGGTTTA